CTTTGCCGATCCGCGCCTCCACATCTGCATCAGATCCACCCTGTTCATCAATGACGCTGCTCAAATACGTAAAGGTTTTTACATCTTCCAAATCTTCTCCGTCAATTGTGATTGGATTGGTGCATGCTGTGCTGTATCGGAGAATCCTGCTTTTCCCTTTGTGTATATTGAGACCTACTGCTGCTGAGGCTGCTGCCACACTGTTCGTCTTCTCCTGCATTTGTTGTTGCGTTTGGGATAGGAGGGCCAGATCATCTGCGAAGTCTATATCGTCCAACTGCATCTTAGATGTCCATTGTATCCCGCGCTTCCCTTCAGATGTTGACGTCTTCATGATCCAGTCGATCACCAGGAGAAAGAGAAAGGGTGAGAGTAAGCAACCTTGCCTAACACCGGTCTTCACTTCGAACGACTTTGTCAACTATCCTCCATGCACGATTTTGCAGTGTAATCCATCATATGAATTCTGTATGATATTGACTATCTTCTGAGGCACGCCGTAGTGTCGAAGAAGTTTCTTTAGTGTTGTTCTGTCCACGCTATCAAATGCCTTTTCGTAGTCAATGAAGTTGATGTAGAGTGATGAATTCCATTCAATTGATTGTTCCACAATGATCCGTAGAGTTGCGATTTGGTCTGTACACGATCTATCCTTACGGAATCCTGCCTGTTGGTCACGAAGTTGGGCGTCTACACAGTCTTTCATCCTGTTTAACAATACCCTGTTGAAGACTTCCCGGTATTGAGAGAAGAGTGATGCCCCTGTAGTTATCACAGTTGCCGAGATCGCCTTTCTTCGGTATTTTGAACAGAAGTCCTTCTTTCCAGTTTGTTGGTACTTGTTCTTCATCCCAAATCTTGCTGAAGAGAATGTGGAGTATCTTTGCAGTTACCGCCACGTCTACTCTCAGTGCCTCTGCTGGAATGTTGTCTGGTCCTGTTGCTTTGTCGCTCTTGATTTGTCTGATGGCCATACTGATCTCTTCAATTCTTGGTGGGCCAACATTGATTGGGAGGTCTGTGGGTGCTGCTTCGGTGTTGGGTGGGTTCAGTGGAGCTGGTCGATTCAAGAGTTCTTTGAAGTGTTCCACCCATCTGTTTTGTTGCTCTTCAACGTTGGTGATTACCTTGCCTTCTTTGCTTTTCACTGGTCGTTCTGGTTTGCGGCGATTTCCAGGGAGTTTATTTGTCGTGTCATACAGTTCTCTCATGTTCCTTTCTCTTGCAGCCTTTTCCTCCGTCGTTGCTAAATCTTCCACATATTTACGTTTGTCGGTTCTGATGCTCCTCTTCACTTGTTTGTTTACTTCTGCGTATTGAGCTTGTGCCCTGGCTTTTTCTGCTCTTGTTCGACTGGTATTGATTGCTGCTTTCTTGTTCCTCCTTTCTTGAATCTTATCTAGTGTATCAACAGTGATCCATTCGTTGTGATGGTGCTTCTTGTGGCCCAGGAACTCATGACATTTTGAAGTGATTACCCCTTTGACTCCCTTCAAGTTGCTCTCCATAGTAGTTCCTTATCCACTGAGTAAATCATGAAAGGCCTGGAACTTATTGCTGAGGACTATCTTGAATACGTTGAGTTTGTCAGTATCCTGAAGAACGGCCGTACTGAACTTTTGTGATGTTGTCCACCACGCTGTGCAGTGCTTCTTGAGTTTCAATTTCATCTTGGTGATCAGCAAGTGATGGTCTGCTGCTATATCAGCTCCTCTCTTGGTTCGCAGGTCCTCCATCGTCTTCCTGAACGTTTTGACTAACACCATAATTCTACAAGTCCATTAAAACTAATGCAGTCAGCATCAAATGTTAAATACTTACATAGCTGTTCATTTTAGGCACTTATTTACCTCTAGAGTTCTATTTTATGCCATGGGCCATCCCCTTAATATTTTTTCTTTCGATCACTACCTGTCTTATTTTCAATTTTTTGAGTTTCCCTGCTAAACAACAAAGGTAATAATCCATTAACTTACGGTGAGTCTAAGTCGTTACGTCTTTGCAATCTAAAGCTCATTTCAGCTTGGTCATACGGTGGGAACTACGTATTTATCCGGACTCTTGAACTTGTACTCAGTCAACTGAGTAACAGTGTCAGCAGCTCCATTCACATTCAGGAATTAGTTGCAGTACTGTGTGTTAAATCTGGTTTCGTTTGAATCGCTATCACTCATCGACTTGTTTTTTATACGTCAAACCTGCTGGATAACCTTAGTTCCAAGAACAGTTCAGGTTAGTTCTAATATTTTGCCGGATGATTTACTATGTTTACCATACTTATTAACATGTATATATTTTCGCTTAGACTATCCATATGTATTTCATATAAGGTTTGAATAATTTTTTCTGGTTAGTGTTTTTTAGCGAGTTATTTTTCTACGGGATGGGGTTGCTAACCCCGCGCCCAACCCTCCTGCTTTATCCGGTTTTGGGACTGGCAGTAGCCCCCGGAGGGATTACAGGCGGAGTGGTATTTCATATAAACCACTTCTAAAACCGTTCGTTACATAAGTTATGCCTAACAGCCTCAAATGACGGAGAATTACCATGAAAAAGTGTGTCAATTTAAAGAAAACCATATTAGATTGGACATTAGTATGAAATGTCCTAGTTCTGTTCATCATCACTACACAGCGATGAAGTTACCAGGCTAACTATGAAAACCTACGAAAACCAGATTCTTTCTGAAAGACAGCATGGCTTTAGAGCAAGTTATTCCTGTCTCACCAATGTATTAGTAGCTCGTGGAAGTTGGTGCAGGCCTAAGGATCAAAAGCTACGTATAAACGTAGTCTATATTGACCTCAGCAAAGATTTTGACAAAGTTCCTCACAATCCGCTGTTATATGAATTAAGTAATATCGGGGTTGGAGGCAATTTAATAATTTGGATAAAAGACTTTCTAGTTGGGCACCAACAAAGAGTACGGGTGAACTCCAAATTGTCTAGCTGGAAAACTGTGCTTAGCGGAGCTAGTATTGTTCCTCTTGTATGTAACTGACATTCCTCTTCTCCTTTCTTCATAGGTGTTGCTATATTCTGACGATGTCAAGATACGAAGAGCGATAAAAAGTAAAGTTGATAGTTTGATGCTTCAAAGACTTGTGGAAATGATCTGGCTGATCTAAAATTTGGCATTTGCTGATAAACGCTACCAAGCGCATTGTAATGCATATTGATCACTAAGGTACAGAAATACACACGGGGAATAATATTGATTTACCTGTTGTCCAGACACATGAGGACTTGGGAGTTATCGTTGGACAAAGCATAAAATCGACTGCACACTGCCGTGTAATAATCGTCAAAGATTTTAGAACAATATGTTCAATACATAAGGCCTTCAGCCATGTGGCCGGTGGAAATAGCCACCTGCTATGCGACACTAGTGTAATGACGAATGCTCATTATCCCATCGATGATGTTACAGAAGATAGAATTGTACCTCCACATTTGATCAATCATCGAAAGGAAACTACGTTCAGTATACAGGTGGTCAGAGAAAAGCTGACCACTAACTAAGTAAAGAGTTGTGTCCATCCTAATATAGGTTTATGGAAGCCAATCCAGAGGATCCACATTGACGGAATTACAAATCATACATCAAGCTAAACTGTTTCTACTTTGAAAGGTAGAACCAACTAGATGTCTAATAATTGGTTAGTCACTCAGTCAGTCAGCTACACATTTAGGCGTCCGTCCAAGTTTTCACACCTCATGACCACAACAAGATGAACATCAAATTCATAGAAGCATTTACCTCAATGGCAGTAACGGCGGTCAAATCCAGGACCATTATACAGACGTTTTGCGTAAACACAGGATTTCCAGAAATACCAAAAGAAGAGTCAGAAATTCAGTTCACGTACTCAGATCCCAACCTTATGAAGAATGCTTGAAATCGATTGATCTTTACTCACTAGAGTATTGACATCTCAGAAGTAACCTTCCAACTACTTAGCATTTTAACCGCTTCTGTGTATCCCTTTAAATACTTGCCAAGTTTGGGTTGTGACACAAATCTTAGGGACAACGCACAATAATAAGGGACACATCACGACAAAGCGGGCTGGGGACACACCCACTTTTAATGATTGGCCAAAGTTCGGAACTCACAACCGGTTACCCGATAAACTTTCAGAGTCCTTAAAGAGGAAACTCGGCATATTTTATAAAACTTAAAATATTGTGGCTGAAAATAAGTCCACAGAATAAATGACTCTGTAGGTCTTTGTTAACGATACTGACCTTATTAGTTTCACCGGACACACCTTAACCAAACCAGCTCGATCACGTATCCTCACGAGATCATGAATGTGCAAGACGTGCTTCACGTCCTTTGCAACTGCGAACCAGCTTAGACCAACGATTCTCAACATACCAGTAGATTCCCAAATATATCTTCAAACCCCCTCATTCCTGACTTCTGATTTGACTGGGTTTGTATATGAGTAAAGACATTATCAAACTCCAGTTACCCGTGGCATCTTTGACAACATTTCATCCAAATTTACCAATAACTGTCTCTTGCACGCTTAATATAATTAGTTCCCTACCAACAGACATAGGTGATGCACTACAACTACTTACGGAAGTCTGTTAAGCCAGAGCCTCTTGTGATGGTGGAGAAGATTTGTAGCTCAGATGGATGATTTTGATGTTTTGCTCTCTTAGCTGGAAAGCTGGAGCTAAAAGAACAAAACTTCATCAAAAAGAGAGCTTCTTGCATTTCATTTACATAAATTCGAACAGCTTGTCTGGTGACCACTGGCCTTCCATCTGCTTAAAATCCTCACCTCAACAAATTGTTTAGGCTCTATTTGATTGCGTGTTCTAAAGAAAGTTAAGCCGAGTGGAAACCATCACAGCCAAAATTAACAAAGTCTATACAGCTTCGTATCCTCCTCAAACTGAAATCGACCATCAAAACACGTCCAGCGCCACATTCGTTTCGGCGTTTTGGTGGCTAAATCAAATCCTTTGAAACCGTTTCGGGGCAAATGGTATTTATATTTTGTTTTTCATGCTTATTATTTATAACGTTGTACATTTTGAGTAGCTTAATCTGTTTCGAACTTTTAGGAGGTATATATGGTTGTACGCCGTAAGAAAACAACCATTCACCTGAGTGCTAAGGAAACGAGTCTCGTTCTCGAGGTGAAGAAAATGATTGAAGGGATTCTCAAAGTAAAGCCCGAAGATCAAATGCTTTTAAAGCATCAGACCGAAATGGATGATGAAAAAACACTGAGTTACTATAATCTAAATAGCCAAACAGCAAGGGCTCATACACCGGCAACACTTGGGCTATGCCTACGTGATCCAGGTAGGTTTATTATGAACTACCTTCAAATCGTATAAATCATAAAGTAATCTTTGCTCCATTGCAAGGTTCTTGGTCTGTGCACATTTCTCATTAGTGCTAACGTTTTCTTCACATGACCTTACTGCTTTTATCGAGTACCAGTGTGTTTGTCCTAGTAATATTTTGGTACCTCGGTAGAAATTGAAAAGGTTCTTTTATGTAGCCTATATTACTCAGTGTTTATGTAGGAAATGTGTAAGAACACCTACTCTGAATATATGAGGAGGTGACATTGAGTTTTCGACCCTTTTATATTGGTAGCTTCAAGGCATATTACACTTCAGGTTTCGATTAAACGACTGTTAAATCCAGTATCACTATGCAGACGTTTTGCGTAAACACAGGATTTCTCGGAAATATCCACTAGGAAGTCCATGATTAATAGCGAGGAGTTATCTTTAGATCACTCGATTGCCGTTTAGTAGTTTGTACCTACATATTGAATGGCCTTGAGTTATTGGACGGCTATAACATATCGCTAGATATGCTATTTACGACCATAACTACTACGTCGACGTGATGTTCTGGCTTGCCTATCACGACGACTCAATAGAGCTACATATTCATGGGACGCTTGTTCCTTATATATTACCGTACCATGCAGGTCGGTCGAAGGACTGTAAGACCAAAACCAGCAACTTAAAGTCAAAAGCCTGAGTCGTACTTCTAACTATATCTGAACATTCATCAAAAGAAACGATTACCATACGAGTGTGCGCTCTATGCTTCTCTAAAAGTAGAAGACAACTTTTGAAATCAGAGGAATACATATCAGATTCAAAGCTAAAGATGTTTTGGAGTTACAAATCCAGCTGTTTTGCGTAAACTCCTACGTAAGGTTGTTAGTCTATGAGATTGTAAATATTTATACATTGACCAGTTTCGTTCTGCTTATAATATTGCATACACGCGAATTTCACTTCCTTAAAAAAGTAGTAGCGTGTGGATGGTATTGGCGTAATGATTATGATTTCTCACATCCAGTACATTCCAGTTAAACTAACGTTATTCTAAATCAATGACTTACAGCTAAATCAATTTTAGAAACGCCTTTTTCACTCAGAAATGGTAGAAAAAGCGGACGTTTTTATGCATGACTTTCGATATAAAATACCTTTAACTTAATGACCCGTTCATTTTCGATTTCTCTTTGAATTTCAGCCACTGAAAAGTTCGAGACACTGGACATTACACCATATTCAAATCCTCCAGAATTACCAGAAGTTATGCGTTCTCAGGAAAACTTACCACCACAAAGTGCTCCAGAACTTGTAGGCCAAGCGAAACCATAGTTTTTCATTTTCACCTCAGAAGACAATCAACGTTTTCTTTTCAAAATTGTACCATATAGCCCATGACTTGCTAGACTACCATTGTTTTCTTACAGTTAGTTAACATTTGCATGTAAGCCCGGTTTGTGTTTATTTTCAAGCTCTCATATGTAATTTAAGCGATTGTACCGGTATAAATAACCATCCACTCTAATATGGGGTTTCTATGAAATTGAAATGAATAATACGATTCTGCCGAGCACCATCCATTGTATGGGTATACGTAATCAGAAGTTTATTACAAACTTTTTCAAACCAGAGTTAGGTTGTTTCACTCTACATGTTTCTGACTATGGTACTTATAACACCCGCCCAGGTTTCTGTTATCTCATCTATTCTCTTAAAATACTATTATTTTGCTTGTTTTCTCTTACTGAAAAGTTATCCTTTTTATGATTTATTCATGAACACACTATTCCAAGTATGCAGGTATACGATGGTCATAAGAACGATCAGATGGAAGACAACCTCAAACTTAATGATTTACCTAATAAATAATATTATATAATAAAGTCATCTACAAAGTTTAATTTTGCTAAAACAAACTGCAACATAAGTATGGTGCTGTACAGTTTGAGTAGTTGAAAATCAGCCTAATAAATGCTGTGAAAAGCAAAGACCAGTGGACATCTGTTTTGGCCCGAAATTTAATACCTTGAAACAAGACTTGAAGAGGTCATGGATACGATCTCATCGTTTAAGCATCTCAAACTAGACTAAAAATCAGTTGTTCAATACTTCCAACCTCTCCAGACTTAAAAAGAATGAAGGCAGTTCAGCGAAGTTTGCTTCTCGAAAATTTTATTTACTTAGGTTTTATAATCGTATTTGCAGTTAATCTATTCCTTAAAAAAGTGGTACATTGTAAAGTGTCAGTTATAACTTACTGCATGCAATTCAATAAACTAATAGATACACACTGACTCGGCCGTATGTGCCTTCAGTAAGACGTAGAGAATGGTACACCACAATTCTGTTTACGCAAGGCTGGAAATTTGAGACAAACAATTCGAAATGAAAATCACTAGACTCACTGAATCATCCTTTTTTTTACACTGCAGTCTTGGTGATTGGAAAGATCCTACGAAATTACCGATGAAAGATGATTAGGGCCTTTGGTGAATGTGGATGTGATTCTCCAAAGTAGCACTATGATGCATATGTTGTGGAGAAACAGAGATTTCGACAGTAAGGTCAACAGATCATACTATTTCGAAAACACAAGTTTAATGTCGTATTACCTTTTAAATTTGAGTTGGGAGTAAGTCTAGATAGAATATATATTCTCAAGATGGCTGGAAAAAGTATAAATAAGCGAAGATACAAATACTTATACAGGAGTGATACTTAAAGCTGTTAGTATTTACACGGTAAGCTGATAAAGCAATCTCATTAACCTAGGTGAAGTTTTGTTCTCTGAGCTGAATGATTTCGTCGTGAAGCTTTCTTTGCCTTTCCGAACAACATTGTCAGCACAATCTTCATCAACTAGAAATGTGTATAAAAACCGTTAACTGGTTAGAGAGAAAAAAGTCAATCGGCTTATTCATATCATTTCCTCATTAACTACATTAAATTAGTTTAAGAGTCGACACTAACTAATTTATTCCGATCATATCAGTTTACATACTAACGGTTGATAATGAGAACAGCTAGGAAATGCATTCGATGCATATACTTACGAATAATTGAGTGGGTTATTATATTACAACTGCTGGTGAACACTAGAAAGCCTGTCAAACATTTTATAATGTTACCAGGTAGCTTGGAACTTGTGTTATTTTTTTACGTTTAAAGGAATATCAAAATACAAGCGTTCAGTTTGTATATATTTTTTATCATTTGATCAATTTTATTTTTCGATAAAGACGACACTGTATGTAATTTTTTAATGACTTGCAGAAGAATTCTAGCGATATTCTCTATAACTGTATTACACTTGTGATAGTGTTCTCACTTTGGATCGAACACTGTCAATCGGTAATAAGATGCAGATTCATAAATAAAACTAGATATACAAGCAAGTAACCAATTAGACAACAGGGAAATTTCAAATCCTCTGATACTGATGCTGTTATATGAAGTTCTTCAATCCATCTCTCAATGTATACATGACTTAATGACAAGAATATAAACAAATTAGGTTGACGAAATTTCAATATACAAAATATTATTCTGTGAAAATTAGCAAGCTACACTGGTTATTGCTTTGAAAAAAATCTGTAGATAATGAGAATTCGACTTTTATGGAGTAGTTTCAATCATTAAGAACTCAGTATTACACTGAGTTATACTATATTTACAAATAAATATGTAGATGTGATTACTAACATCAAGTGATGAACAAGAACATCAAGCACGTGCTACAGCGTTGACCCGTAAAATTTTATAATCTGATGATGATGACGGTAGCGAATCTGAAGATCAGTCGCCTCCTTTGACGGGTAGGCAACAACAATCTATGGACTCATCACCTTCAGATTTGTCGGACAGCAGTAGTCCAAGACGACATGACGAACACAGATCAAAAACTAGACGTGTTTAACATATCTTAAAATGCTTTATACATATAATCAATCTTTTACTACTATCTTGTTTTACAAGCATTAATTCTTTAATTTATTTATATATATGTTTGGATATAGTTCATGTTTTAATGTTGTTTAACTTATCAACCAGATATCATTCCATTTTGTGAAGAAAAAGATCACTAAGATGTTAGTAATCATACCTACATATTTATTTGTAAATGTTTTAGTGTTCATCTTCTTCACCGCTACTTGAACTATCACTTGAATCAGAAACAATAGCTTTACTAACTATCCTCATTCTTTGTTTAGCTGATAATCCATCATCACGTGAAGTAGAGAATCTCGACTTTTTACGCAAAAGATTTCCTTCCTTTGACTCGGAACTTTGACGTTTATTTCCAATCTTTTTTTGTTTCTGTTGACCAACACTGTCCACATTTTCTGAACGATCACCGGCTTCCGCCTCATTAGAACCGTCACTGCTTTCCTCATCACCAGATGCAATAAAATCATCACGTTTTCGACTACCGCCACCACTACGACGTGATTTCTTCTCCTAAGGGATTTAAAAAGTGTGAAAATTACATAAAGAGCTGGATAAAAGTATAATAAAGAAGGAAACTGTAAACAACCGCAACGAATTTTCAGCCAGTTCTTAGCTAATCAGAAAACTTTTGTAAATGGAAAAAAACAAAAATACTCCCATGTCAACAGGTTTAACATAATCAATGAACTTATTACAGTCTTCCATGGGTTATTTCGTTTGTTAATTTGAAAAACAACAACGTAAATTTATCCTTACGGATATACGGTTAGGGTTTTCATCACAAAGTGAAATCGACTAGAACGAAAATATCCTCTTTACCCGTATGGATGGATAGACTTTGTGTAAAGCTCTAGGAGGCACTATCTGATTAGTTCTTTCGTCAACTATACTACCACCAAGTTAAGGTTTGTTTCAAGATTTAAGGTTAGTGCCGATTTAGCTGTTTTATACAATCCTAAAGACGGAATTGGACATTTGATACGTTTGACACTATCACTTCTACTCTGTAGTGGTAGGGGATAATTTTGAGCAGCGTACAAAGGTGCTTCTATTGTTTGCTATACATGGTATTTGAAATTTGCACAATAACGTACAAGTCACGTTCTTGATTCCAATTGGCTCATCCCTATGCTATACCTTTATCAAAAATTCACACAGTATTGCGGCAAATTGAACAAAATATACATACACGCAATTAATATTTAGTCAATCATCTAAATCGCATGACCAGGCAAGTATAAACATCGATCTAAGTTTCTACACTTCATTACTACAACAAGATGAACACCAAATTCATAGAAGCAGTTACTTCAGTGGCAGTAATATATATATAAGGGCATGATACAGGGGGAAAGAATTAGTTCGTATAAAGTAATTTTGGTCTAACGGTCTAAGGAAAGACAACTACGCCATTGGGGTCGATTCTGAGCCGTCACCTTACCCGGAGTCTTCAACGATTGGTTAGAATAGTCACGCAGACCACAACCAATTAGTCTGCATCTACCGACGTGGCTAAGACCAGAAGTTAGTGACTTCAATGAATGATGCGACGTTTTGGTTTGGCCAACCCTGACTTTCTTCCAACTGTCTCCAACACTAGTCAGCATAGCGCGTCGTGATAATTGGTGTCCAGGCATACGTAATTCGTAGTCCAGCCATCTCAGTCGATAAAGATCTGTAACTTCACCAACTGATTTGCCATCATTCTCTAATACCCTGCGCCTCACTATTACTCACCTGGTGATTCTAGCAGATGCGAGTAATATTTCTATGACAATGGTGATCAAACACTAGTAACTTACGAGTATCCTCTACCCTTAGCGGATTGGTTTCACAGCCGTAAAGCAAAACAGGACGAATTGCTGCGCAATATACTCATCCTTTAATTGATAGACGGATATCTCGCCTTCTCCATAAGTCACTTAAGTTGGCAAAAGCCAAACAACCTTTTCGAATCCGTGCAGAGATTTCGTCAGGTATCAACCCATTAGGGCTGATCAGACTTCCAAGATAAGTGATCTTTAGACCTAAGAAATATGAAACGCTAGTTCGAGATTAATAATCATTGACATAATTATCAAATAGAAGTTTGAATAATCGGCTTCAAAGCACATTTGTTATATTGAAATCTATTGATATATTACCCTACTTGGTTGTTATTCAAGTTTATATTAGCTTTGTTGAGTGCTTAACTTCCACTGAAATGTTAATCTGTTCATTTAAAGTAAACATTTGTCGGTGTACTATGGTACTAGAAAAATATTAAATGAAATTGTTTTGATTACTAAAACACAGCAACCAATATTGTAAGACCTTTAAACTGTGTGGGTATACATGAAGTGTATGCAAACTAAATTTTAGAAAATGAGAACAAACAACACACCTCTACAACTGGTTCAATTATAATTTGTTTAGCTTTCTCCAAGAAACGTCCACGTTCTTCTTCTAAACGTCGTTCACGATCAAGTCGCATTTGTTCAGCTTGTTGTTGTAATTCCAATTGACGCTTACGTTGTGCTTCACGTTCTTCCTCCTAATGTTGAGAAAAAAACATTATGATAAGAGAAATATAGACAGAATTCCTAATTAATCTCCCCTCACCCCTATCCAAACATACACAATGATGAACGTTTGTTTGATAAGTAAGTAGTTAAGCTTTAGTCTTACCTTATTTGACAATTAGGGCAATCAGAGAAAAAACAACTACCGTTCTACCAAACGTAGGTTTAAAACAAAATTCACGCGAATACATGTTATGTCAAGTATTTCTCACTTTGCATAACTTCAACCTACAGAATAACTACGAACGTGCATATACGTTATAACTCCTAGAGCCCCTTTATAGTTACTGCCGGTCCCAAGTCCGCATACAGGAGGAGGGTTGGGCGTGGGATTAGTAAACCCGTACAATAGAAAGGAAGCTTGCAACAAAAAACGCTAATGTATGGGGAGAGTGAACAACCTTGCCTGTCTCCGGTCCTCACTTGGAAGCTGTGTCAGATCCTCTCCTGGTTCTCACTTTTTCTATTGACCTTGTGAAGTTTTTACTGATGTAAATATGGTCGATGTGGTTCTGTGTAGTATGATGAGGTGAAACCCGTGTAGCTTTGTGTATGTGTTTTTAAGGGAATATTGTGCCACCTATAACCAATTTGTTGAATGCATAGAGATTTGCAAATCTCTCACCAGCCTCGTTTATTTCTCCCAGTCCACATCGTCCCATGATATATTCATAAAAGATGTTCTCCATTCCGACTTTGGCATCTAGGTCTCCCATCAGGATGATCAAATCTTCCCCTGGAAACTTTGCTATGAATGACTGCAGCCTCTCATAGGACTGATCTTTATTGTCGTCCTTGAGTTTTTTTTCTACGGGATAGGGTCGGGAACGTTATTTCCAGCAGCAGGCCCATGATGAAGTTGAACAAAAATGGAGATAGTGGACAGTCTTGCCGGACACCACTTGAGGTTGCAAAATCAGATGACAACTTGCCATAAGCTCTGACCAGATTAGTAGTGTTTGAGTAATGAGACTTCACAAGGTCTACGTGCTTCTGAGGTACACCTTTTAACGACAGACATTGCCACAGAACCTCCCGGTCCACAGAGTCAAATTCTGCTTTTAAGTCAAGAGAAACTATCATTGTTGAACGCCGATAAGTATGCCTGTGTTCTAGAACCTGACGAATGGTGAATATGTGGTCAATGCGGCCACGACCAGGTCTGAAGGCAGCCTGATTTTCTCATGTTTGCGGTTCACCAGTCTTTAAGCGTCTGATAATTATTGAGGTTAGTATTTTAGGTGCTATGGTAGTCAAACTAATCCCCCTATGAATAAGAACTTTCGTCTAAATTTGAACGAATAGTTTCACAATATTTGGGCGTCGAGTTAATGTGAGACATTAAAAAGAAGAATATATTTGTAAAATCTCAGCGAATGAATTTTAAGTACCTATTTATATTCGATAATTTTGTTGTTTGATTATATTTTCCTTGAAAAAGCTTGGACCAGATTGCCAGGCGAAACGTTGGATTTACTTAAAATTCATTCGCTGAGATTTTACAAATATATTCTTCTTTTTAATAATCCCTCCATGGTTGTCACAGGATGATTTTGGTCCCTTCTTGTGTATTGGGACAGTCAGTGATTGCGACCAGTCAGATGGGATTACGTCCAACTCCCAGACTTTAACTAAAATAATAGTCGACCTAACAGCTAAAACTGGACTACCATATTTAAATACCTCTGAAGTCAATGTATATGGACCAGCTGCTCTCCCTTGTTTCAGATTAGCTATAGCTTTTTGAAGTTCAATTAGAGTCGAGGGACCTACTTCAATATTCTATTCAGGCTGTCTGGGAATGATGGTAGTTGTAGAGTAGCTGAAGGCCAGAGAAACTGCTTCTTATAGTGTCCCTCCCCTCGTTCTAAACTTCTGGGCTGAGAGTAGATAAGAGTGTCATCTTTTTCCGAGATAGTCTCACTTACACTTGACTTGGTAGAAATAATCGGATTTTCCGTGACCCTTTGGTTCAAATCATTAATATATATCGCTCCTTTTTCCACAGCTGTTCGTATATTTGTCCAAGCAACATCTGGGTTAGTCTCCCTTTCAGAACTACCTAAGTGTGACCTCAGTTGTTCCTGGAACCTACTTTTGGCTTTCTCGTCATTGAGTTTAACTCTAATGGGTCTTCTTAATGTAGCTTTTCTGCGTCCAGAGAGGCGCAAGCAAATGCGTGCTCGTATTAGAGTATGATCGGAGTCCAAATAAGTATTCCAGAACGAGCGTCAGCCTTCTATTGAGCCTCTCAAACGATGAATGATGGTGTATTTGAGTCAATCGTTGGTTTGCTGCAAGGAATTGCCATGTTAGACGATGCCTCCCCTTATGCTTAAAATTAGTGCTGTCTGAAAATAAACGATTGTCTGAGCACAGTGCAGCAAACAGTCACTATTATCTGTTCGCTGAGCCGAAATCCCCACCTAAATATCTTTCTGCTTGGTTTAAGCTACCTACCTGGGCATTAAAGTCACCTGCTACGAGCACTATGTCTGAGCGTTCAGCCTTATGAAGTTCAGAAAGCTTTCGCTATAAGTCATCTTTCACTTCATCCAGGCTGCAGTCAGTGGAAGTGTAGGCAGAAACAACGAAAAGGAAACGTCGTGTGACCTTCGGTCTCGTGAACGAATACGAAAACTCTAGACAACTGAGCTAGGCAAGATTTTATTCTTTCTGTAATCGTTATAAGACTCTGCTAACTACCAGTATACAAGAATTAAAGAAGTATATAATGAACTTAACTTCATTTCTTACTGCAAAGTTGATTTTTAGCGTTAATTGTTAATAAATTTAATTCAATTTGAAATGGTTTGGATTATACCGCTCCTGGTATTTTTGGTTGAAATTCGATCGGTCTTGGATGGTACATGGGTATCCTTTGCGGATTGTCTCGATATACCCATTATGACAAGTTGATATTGGACAGATGGGACGTGGCTAGCAGTGGAATCCAGGATGTGCTTTTCGACCTATTTGGGACTCGTCGGCCGGATGTAATTCAATCATTGAGTTAATGTTCACTCAGATACTCGAATCCGAAACTGTTTGCCACTGAGTTATCCACTTAGCTACTGAGTTGTGATAGCCACCTACTTGTGCAACGGATATGAGATCTAGCACAATTTGTAATGGTTTGGATTATTCCGTTGTTGATACTGGGATTTACGAATATCCAGTTGACAAGTTCCAAACAGGACTAAACGCGTGTCGTGGATTTTACTGCTAGCCACATCGCATTTATTATATATTAACAGAGTTATTGGTTCGATAGTGTTGTGATAATTTAAAGTGATAACAATTTGAAATATAGTATAAAAAAGAAGAGATAATAATTGAATATTAACATGATGAGATTGAACCAACTTGACGTTTTCGAACAACTCGTTCTTGTTCTTCACGTGATTTAGCTCTATCAAGATGATATTTAGCTTGACTTAATAGATCTTGGCAGATACGTGCTTCATCAGCCGCCATAGCTTGATTTAACACTTCATTCAACTTTGACAAATGATTAAATGTACTAAAATGCAAGAACAAGTATGAAATGATCAAACAACATAATCACGTTAAAACATAGTTCCTTTCATTTACTTGAAAGCCAAAATAAAGATTTAGATGGAATAACATGAATTCATTGGATTGTGATAGGTTTTCATCAGATGCTAAATGCTTCACTTGTATAAATTGTAAGTAACTGGCGAGAACCTAGCAAAACGAAGTGAATTCGTGTCATTTGCTTAATTCATTGTTCTGACTATTGAAAATGTTAAAATAATTTACTAATAATCTTTCATGGTGTATGCAATTAACCAAGAAGAAAGCAGGTCAATAATCTAACGGCTACGATAAATCGATATGGACAAGGTACTTTAAAGATATGTGTGCTGGACTTATGATACCCATTTACTTTAATTCTCGCATTACTATGAACGCTGAAAAGTAAAACTGAAGTTAAGACTATGTGATTAGTGTCAAGAGAAATCTGAAATGTATCTGATTCAAGATGGTGGAGAAGATTTGTAGCTCAGATGGATGATTTTGATGAGGTTTTGTTCTCTGAGCTGGATGGTTTGGTCGCAGAGCTTTCATCGTCCTTCGGAACGACATCATCAGCACAAAATTCAGATACAAGTGAAGCGTTCGAATTTCTCGACATGTAGTTCACAGCTTGTCCTGTAGACCAATCAACATCGAGGTCTACAGGACAAGCTGTGAACTACATGTCGAGAAATTCGAACGCTTCACTTGTATCTGAATTTTGTGCTGATGATGTCGTTCCGAAGGACGATGAAAGCTCTGCGACCAAACCATCCAGCTCAGTGTATTTGATTAAAATCTATTTAGAAATTCAAACATATCTTCAGACTTCAATATATTCACAGTTATATACAGAAAGTTTACCACTTTAAACAATATAATTGTTATAAGATTTTTGAATATGTGTAGAAAGCTGTAGTTTTAAACATTGAACTGGTGGGAAAAAATATTCACTATTTTAATAAAGGTGATTTATGTCATCAAAAAAGTCGAATGTGGTGAAAGTTGGTCTACTTTACGCTTCGTACTGAATAGTTTGGGGAAACAAAAAAAATCCTAGATCAGAAATATTTGAAAGTCAATATTGTAAACCGGATTATTTTCTTAATTAAACTGTCTATCTGCATTTATATTAGGTCCTGTTCTTGATTATGCACCAACTATTAAATGGATGACTACGCATTCTTTATTTATTTCTTGTCAATATTGTTTTAATTCATTTCGTTTTTAATTGGAACAATTCATATTCACCTTATTCATGATATACCATACTATGAGCTGACTTTATCTGCAACGTTTGCAATGCTCAATAAGATTGTTGTATCCAGTACTTTCGGTCACTTATTTGATGAATGCTAAAGATTTCACTTTAAGCCGTGAACATTATATTTGAGTGTTTTTTTTTATCAGGGATGTGTAGCTTTACTACACTATTATTATACCAAACATTAGACCCTTGAAACAAATTCTGCAGAAAAAATTACGCTGAAATCTGAAGTTGTCATCCACTAAAAACATAAAGAAATGGCTCAAAGTGCTAGATACAAAATACTTATACGAAATAGGAAACATTGGGCATAGTCATAGCCTGATGTCATGAAAGAAGATTATAGTATTTAAAAAAAACAGGGTGCTCTACAGCAATTTCCACCTACCATCTGGCCATATTTAAATCAGCTATTGCTTCACAAACAGATGAAAAACTACTTGTCTCATCTTGTAGCACAGTAACAGCCAATCTTTTTTGAACAAAAGCCAAATTGAATGTTAATACAGGATCCCATGGTTTAACATGACGAGCCTATCACATTTTAAATAGAATAAATGTTATTTTTACATGACATGAAAATAATGCATTCTTAGGCAGAGATTAGTCATTCTTGTAGTAATGATAAGGATTTAGTAACTACACTTGAAAACTGGTTGTATTATTCAATATCTAGTTATTTACTTGCATTATAGTTTTTAATTTAAGCTTAACGTTGTCAAAATTCTACACGTTACGAGTTCTTCATTCATTGAAGTCGAACATGCTTTTCAGTTATTGGTGCTTCGTTTTTTTTTTGTAATTTGCTAATTTATTGTTATATTGCTAAGGACATTGCTATTGTATTTATATGTTAATTTGACTCTAATTGAAGTGTCGTTAATAAATGTATTCAATATTTGAATTAGCTTGATGGACAAGTATGGAAGAGGTGAAAATCCTACCACTTTCATTGTCCAAGGAAAGAAGTTGGAAAACTATTGGAGAAGCAAAGTAAACTAGTAAAAAAGTCTAATAAACCGCAAAATTATAACAAATTATTCTGAGTTCTTCCTAATCTTTCTACTATGCCTTCTGTTTTCAGTACAGCTAATAGTATCGACGATTTCAACTATGATCCGAACGTCACATTGAGTATATGTCTTTGGTAGTTAATATCAATTAAGATTAGCTTGAGTTTTGTTAGAGGCGGTTGTCGCTCACTTAGTATTCACATTATGAGAAGATACTTGAGGGAAACTGAGTTAGGACGGTCTTGACAACCTTAACATCGTGACCGTAGAGCCCAACGAATAACAGACTGATGACGGCCATCCACAGCTTTTTGTGAATAGTCCGTGATATGTCTCACCATCGAAGACGGAAATTCGCGTGGTATTTTTAGGACTCACATTTATCGACCTTCTGTTGTGGAAAGGTAGTATCACTACAAATGCTAGTTATCCGAAGGAAACATCTCCCCATCGACACAACCTGTCACAGCCTATATAACGCGTATTTCACACCAAGGTAATGACAGTTATGTTCGAAGTTATTCAGTACGATATGCGATAGTTTCATCAGTTATTCCATAAACAAAGTTATACAAGTATTACGCAACCATCATTTGATGAATAGTTCGATAATAATTCCTTTCCCAGTAATATGCACTGCTGCTATCTTAGGTTAAAAATAATAAACAATGTAAACAATATAAACCGTTAAACCTTATTTATAGTTTGCTTTCCCATAAACTAAATTAATTGGTCGCACAAACTAAGAAGTCTGACTAACACCTAATAAAATTGCAAGTGAGTATATATCCAGTGACACTTGTGAATTAATTACTCATATTAGTAAAGCTTTTAAAGAAATAATAGAAAGTTATGTCATATCATTGTGAAAAAGGACAAATGTTTGTGGACAACAAATAGAATCATAGTTTTGCAGTAGTAAAACAACAACAACTAAAATTAAAACAGACAAAGAGAATATACTTAACAATTATAGTTACCTTTAATAGCATAGTTTTACACTCTTTCAATTGACCAGCTTTAAAATGTGCTCTAGCCAAATATTGTAACAATTCTGTATTATTCTGTCGAGAGAATTTCTTAATACAATTTTCATACTACATTTTAAAAAAACAAACAATGAAAGTCAATATAAATAAAAATATGGATAGATTAACAAGAGTTTAAATAGAAACAGCCATTAAACTATAAATATTCATTATATGAATATGACAATAATGATAACAAGAAAAAAAAAAGCAAAACAAAATGACAATTTTATAAATTACACACCATTTGAATTGCAGCAGTGTATTGTTTTTGTTCAACATAAATATGTGCTATATTAATCCAAACATCTGGGAAATCAGCCGTTGCCTCACGAACTTGTGCAAATACATCTCTAGCTTCATTAACAAATCCTTTATGTGCTAATACACAACCAATACCATGTGCAGCCCATATATTTCTAGGATCAGCGCATAGAACAGCTTTATAGAAAGATAATGCACGATCCTGTATTGATTAAAAGAAATAAAAATCTTTTTTTTAAAAAAAAAAGAATCATTATAATAGGTAAGAATATAAACAGTACAAGGTAAGCTATTAAGGTTAGAATGAGCTACTGGATAAATCTGTTTGCTTTTTCGCTTATTGTAAACGGTGATATTTATTAGCCGACAATTTTCTAGTGATGCAAATTTATTCGAAGAATGTTATCTTTTCGATATCATTCATTATATCTATTGGTTTGTTTACTATCTTCCTTTATTTACTTTTATTGGAGTTTTAAATTGTATTCATATATTCCTTACAAGCTGTTTTTAAACTGTAGCATTATGGATCACGGAGTGTATGGGAGGGGTAGATGGAACATTACATACAGTCATATGCAACGTAGAATCTGGCAAATGAGTTGTAACACTATATCAACACAGCAAGATGCCAAAGTAGTGATAAGTATTAATATTAATGAAACCTGGAAAGATTAGATTCAGAAAATCTGAATAGATGGGATAGATAAACTTCCAAAATAATCAAGGAATCCAGGCCTTATGGAGAGACAGAGTAAATGCATCTGCGCCATTAAGAATGATTTTGTGTATTATCATCCAATGGTAAAGATAATCACACGGACATCAACCTAGTAGTCTGAACCTATCTACACGGTTCAGTCTAACGGTCACTGACTTTATAAACTGATTCTATGTTTTGATTTAATCGGCCCTAGCGTAATTCCAAATAACTCTTACACCAGGTAAGCATCGCCCGACAAGGTAGGCGATGGGTGGGCACTACACTGTAAGATATATTTGTCTGTCATGGTAAAATTTTATCAATTACATACAACTGACAAGTTCAAAATTATGGGTGAAAAGTAGTTATAATCAAAGCTATGTAGGAAATATTTAAAATAATGTACCATTGTGTTTCCACAACGAATGAATTTAAATAGAGGTAGAAAATTGGTTTACAATATAGAATGAAACGCGTTTCTGAATATGTCAACAACATGTACACTAGGACGTGTTCTGTGATATATGCATTAAATTGAATTGTTTTAATGATCATCTGATATCGTGAACCGACCTACTTTAGATAATCACTGAGAAACAAAGAACCCTAGACCGTTGCTTTGTCCTAGTACGAGACTTTCCAGAAGTTTATATACACAAACTCAGGGTCTTCAGGTTAATCAGTAGGTGCTTTACAACTATTACTCATTCTTTTTCGCGAGTAAATACTTCACATTCGATGCGGTTGAAATCCACTAGTCACGATTTCTCAACAGGATTCAGGAAATTAGTCACTAGTAAGCACATGATGAAAAGTCTGTCGCAATATGTAGAAAAGTTTTAATAAATAATTCGTAAACTAGTATGAATTTCCTTTGCAAAGACTCCAATTTGACACTGGTGTTTGCATATAAGCTTCAAGTCAATTATACAAAACCGTCCAAATAATTTTTCACATTGATTATCTTGGATAAATACGATTGCACAGTTTTCGATGTAAAACTAAATGGTCGAAAACAAATGCATTCTTCCCAGTAATATATATATATATATATATATATATAATTTCTTAGTTGGGGACTGAATTTTATTATACATTGGCTCCTGGTTTGTTCTTCAATATTATTTAACAAGTCAACAAAGGTGAACGGGCAACACACGCGAAACCAAAGGTTTTAGGATTCGGTTCTCGAGTGTGGATTTGTGAATACACCCTTCCGAGGAGTCCCATGGTGGAACGGAACGGCTGTCCAATGCTTCCAGGTTTTCAATAGTGTTTTAACACTGATTGTTTCATGAATTCAATGAAACTACTGTTAATTTGAATATATAACACATTATTATTATTATCACTATTATTGGACATTGTTGCTTTGTTACGATTCATTAACAATCTTACACAATTAGCATGAGATTTCTATTGAAGAGGTGAATTGTGCCTAGCAATGGAACCTAGGATGAGAATCTCGCCCCATTCAGCAACTAACGACTGTATGTAGTTACATCTCAGTGTTTATATTCACTTTAAAACTCGAACACAGTAGAATTCGTTTCAAAAAGCGACGCATTATCCACTAAGCTACTGAGTTCAGATAGTAACAAACTTGTTTAACAGGTGGCTTTGGATTATTAGCGTCAGAAGTTTGTGGAGATTTTTTAACTTGACAATAAGTTATGTCACAACTGTGCAAATATTGCAATTCACCTACCTGTTTTATATTTTTTCGAATTGAATAATTATGAATGACAACTGTATGTAATTACGTGTTATCTTATGTAAGGATTACAAATCATTGTGAAGCTAAATACTGAAAAACTCAGACGGAAACATCACAGTCTTTTTTTTATTCATCTTTTGACAAAACGACAAACAGATATGTTGGGATTCAAGTACCGTATACATGCTTGATAGAGAACGTGAGTGTAGTAGCTGAACTGGTTATAAAATTTAGTGATTGAATACAATTGCCAGACTCTAACTTTTAAAAACGCTTACAAAATATGTTTTGAATAATCACAATTCGAATGAATGTTAAAGAAATATTTGTTACAATGTAGCACAATTGGTGCCGAAAATTCTTTATTCTAGCAAAACTTTTAGTATTGAATAAATTTAATATTACTATTATTAACTACAGAAATCTAGGGAATAGAACGAGGTGTTTGTCGTAATACAGGACTCTTCAGAGCTGTGCACTCAGCCACAACCTAAGGAATAAAATTGGAAATATGAATCACAGGATGTCACCAATTCAGTGGTTCAAGGATAACGCGCTCGCTGTGAAGCTCGAAGATATTGTTTCCATTCTCTTGTGGGCATAGAGCTGAACAACTTCATAATATGACAAAGTAGTTGTTCCCTAGCTAAGCTTTCAATGATTTTCAACATAATATCAGTCAGTTTACAATCAAATCTTAGAATAATTAAAATCTCCACAATGACAAAAACACAAGAGGAAGAAAGAAACACACAAGAAAATCATGGAACTCTACCTGATGCCTTTTACGTTTATCTTTATCTTTGATAGGATGATGTAGAGTAGTTAACCAAATATTCCCTAAACATATACGTGCAAATGCATCTGCTCTATACGCTGGCTGTCTAATAATCCGATCAAATTTCTTCTGGGCTTGTTCAACTTCATTTTTATTTAAGTGTAATAATCCAATCAGTGTCCAAGCGTCTGGATTATCCTAGATGGAATGTATGTAAAGCAGATTATTCAAAAAAATGAAACAATTAGTCACAGGCAAGTTAAATGGGAAAACAAATGCTACTAAAGGTAAAAAACCAAACGTCAAAAGAATTATATAACTTAATTATGAGACATGACAATCAGTCAAATTCATTAAGTTCGTCTATCTTCGGAATCCGATAAGATCAGTAAACAGTCATAATATAATATCTAAATGCATTGCATAGTTATGTAAACATAGTAAAATGAATAGGCAGGATCAATTTTTGACATATTTAGTATGAGGTTAGAGCAGTATAATCCACAGCCAGTATTTCTTCTTAATTGGGACTAATTTGAATAACTCTATACCTTATTATTCATTTTTAGATTAAAACATGAACTTTGTGTTTTTCATTTCAAAAGAAATTACAATACTAGTAATGCTGTGTTTATTTTATTTAAACACATAAACATAGGTACAAGGAGGCACCTAAAATATATGCACCACTCAAATCTTTTGATTTGTGTGAGGGTTGGGATAGTGACCTGGCACCCAAATAGAAGCAGGTGTTTTCCAAAGGGGCCACTCCCCGAACCTTTGACCCAGAGGTCTAATCCACAAAGCGGTGGAGCAACATTAAGAGATGCAGTCCCATGGTAGCCGGTGACCAATAATAGGCTGACATATCTTATGTTCCCTTAGTATCCTGGAGCCCATATGCATGATTGATTTGGAGCCAGGGTTTCCCAACTCCCCTAGGTGGATCTTCTCTATCCACCAACCCGATTAAAGCACCAGACATTCGCTTTTCGTCCTCTCAATTTCGTAAATAACACCCCTGCCGCGAGAAGGCAGTGAGTAGAACTTCCCTGGAAGTGGCTGTATACGAGTGACCAAAGGAAATCATCGTCTGATCTTTCGTGTTTATGTTTTTAATCCTGTCAACGAATTGGAATACGTACTTAATACTATGTTTCATCAGGCGATTATGGAGTGGTTTCAAAACAGTTACTAGCCACTTTGATACTGTATGATATGGGGAATCGCTCATGTCCAAAATTGGCCTTAATGGGATATCTGGTTTATGTATCTTTGGCAATCCGTATAATCTGGTTAAATGTGTACCTACCGGCTTAATTGTTTCGTATACGTCTTTGGCAATCATCTGTTGATCTCTGAGCTTTTTTAATGTTTGGGTCAGTTCATTCTCTATCTTATTATTGACATCTTTTTGGTTATTCAGTTTCTGAAATTTTTGAAGATCATTCAAGATGTTATTAATCTTGTCAATGTAATCTTTTTTGTTAAGTAAGACGGTTCCTGTTCCTTTATCGAGTATTGTGATAATCAGATTCTCATCAGTAATGAGTTCCATGATAGCCTCCCTGTGTTTCTTAGTTAAAATACTTCTGTAGTTATATCTACTATTCTTAAACTGATAGCAACAGTCAACTAGGTTTGATTTGAAACGTTCAAGTTCCTGATCAGAGGTCGGGACTAGATCTGATGTCTGACGATTTAGGTTTTCAAATTGGATATCCATAATCACAATATTCTCTCTCTCTTACCCCATGTTGACCATATTTATTCTGATAATTTATCTCACAATTTTATTTCGCTTATAAACTGATTCAAGTTAACACTCCATATTAGTCATCCCAACATTAACATATTACAATTTCCAAATGATGTATTTTGCCTTAAATCTGGCCAATTTTATGGATTATTAATCTGGATTTATAATTGTAGAACCTGATGAGAAATTATTGTTACCTTTTAAATGACTCCCTGAATAAGATATATGATATATTCAGGCAACGAAGCTTAGAAACGATTGATATTTTTGTTAGGTAGTCGTCACTTCAATAATCTTGGATAAACTCTGTAATAGTTAGGCATATATGGAGTGTATTAAATGATCAGACTTACTGATAGAACAACTTTTTTTATCTCAGTCAACCTTGACGTTCAATAGATCTGAGTCATTCACACCGGGTTTTTAATTATCAAATTAGTTAATTGTGAATTGTAATAATCCGATATCTATCCGAATTGTGAGAAACAGCAACTCACTTCGATTTATTTTGAAAGGTTCGTTTACTGAGCAAGTAGGCTCAGTTCAATAGGAATTTAAAATAGCTTAAATGAAAATTAACTAGGAGTCTATCCAATAAATGAAATCATCTCAGAATAAACTAACACTGAATAATTCTAAAAAGCTACTAACACTAAGCGATAGTCAAAGTTATTCACGTCTAACAAACAACATCTTCGTTTTACCACCTGAATACTCTATAAAAATGGAAATAAATGAAACAAATAATTACTAACTTGATCTACATCTAAAGCTTCTTTGAACCAAATTGAAGCATCACGAATCTGTCCTCGATCACGTGCAATACAACCCAAACGAAGGTAACCTGGTTATTGATTACATGTTTGTTAAAGGGGAGAAAGTATGATTTTATTCCATATTTGTTTATTATTTATTACTATGATTTTAAACAATAATTACAATATCAACAATCAATTCTAATTCCCATTGAATTAAGTAAAAATAAAATTAGTCCGTCATAAATAACGCAACACCTGACTCTAGTATTCAATCATGAACAATGTAGAATATGAGACAGATGAATTGTTTCAAGTTGTCACAGCACAACAGGATGAAATATCAAGATAATTCTTAGTATATTTAAAGTAGCAATATTATCAGTATAATTGGTTGTAGGAAAGATTAGTCATAGACAATGTAATTCGAGAAGAAAAAATTTATGGAAAAAAGTATGTTAAAAACTCAAGAAATAAAGACAAAGCGTCAATGCATTTGCGCCATTGTGACTGATTCTAAGATATGTTAGCCACCAAATTTAACCATCGGTTACGATAATTAAGAGGACCCCGACCTGGTACGAAGTGTGTAACTGCCCGAGTTATCATACACACCTTAAATCAAGACATGAATTTTTTATGAGATAGCGAAACTGATTACAAGTGAAAATTTATAGGTTATTTGATTTGGGCTCAGTTGTCATAATAAAGTTGATCGATATGAGGCCAGTAGTGGGATTCAGGATGTGTTTCATTTTATTTGGGACTTTTAAGCTGGATTCACCTCCACCTGTGTTGATACTCGCACCGAGACCCAAACTCAGTGCTGTTGGCTTCAAACACCAAAGTGTTATCCACTGAGCTAAGGATGTTCTACTACTTCTTGGGAAGTGATCAACTTACTAATTCTAGTGTTTTGCAAGGGATTAATTAAAAATGAGGTTGTTTTTGCTATGAATTTACACTATCGAGTAGATAATCGCCGAAAACCAAATAGTAGTAGTGGGATAATTCCGAAATAAATTTTCTAAAGAATAGTTTGAGGTCTTAATCATCATCCAAATTAAACGATACATGTGGTGGTCGGTATTCGATATATCCCTTAAACTTCGTATACAATTCGTCTTGATAACCGTCCTATTTAACCCCCAACGGTATATTATTCAGAAGGCGAATACGAAGCGTTGATTACGTTTATTTCGAGACCACACACACAGATGTCCAAAATTACAGATGCATTAAACGAGCATTAAGAGTTGTGTCGAACGGCAAACAGGCAAGCGAGCGACTGAGCGAATGTAAGTAATCGAGTACAATCAAGCGAGCGAGAAAGCAGAGTAAGATGGCCCCAACAATATGTCGCTACGATTTTTTATTAATGATCTACTATTTTAAATATTAATTATAACTTCATTTTAATTTCGTATAAACCTTTTTTTTCCAAACAATTGAAACTATCCTACTCAGTCTACTATTTTTTTATGCAAACACAGACATTTTCCATATATCTTTGTTTGCAGGGGGGAGCTATTATAGCGACTCACGTGCAAATGGGTTTATTCTCATTTAACTCAGTCAAGCCCTTTTGCTAACTTATTTAGCGGACAAAGCCACCCGCACCATAACAATTTATTGTACCCTTATTATTATTTTGTGCTTGTATGAAATACGCATGCTTGAATATTGCTTACGGCCTACGCATTTATGTCACTCTGTTAGTCTCACTACTAACCGCTTATTTGATTCGATTACTCATTAATTTCACATGCTATATATATGTCCACGTTATTCATATGGCTGACTCTGCTTTCTCGCTCGCTTGATTGTACTCGATTACTTACATTCGCTCAGTCGCTCGCTTGCCTGTTTGCCGTTCGACACAACTCTTAATGCTCGTTTAATGCATCTGTAATTTTGGACATCTGTGTGTGTGGTCTCGAAATAAACGTAATCAACGCTTCGTATTCGCCTTCTGAATAATATACCGTTGGGGGTTAAATAGGACGGTTATCAAGACGAATTGTATACGAAGTTTAAGGGATATATCGAATACCGACCACCACATACACACCGATGACACAGTATGGTTGTATTATACACTTAAATACAGTTTAAAAAGGACCATAACTAATATAAATCCGGCCTTGATACTTTGAATATGATTGTATGCTACAGAAGTAGGTGTAAACCATGACGGAACATTTGTCTAATGATCAGTAGCTTTCAGTGATTTCCCAATTGATATTTTTTTCTTATACAGAAAACTATTCTCAATATCTAATGGTACAAATCACCATCTAGATAATTGTATTATAAATTCCGTGAAACATTTAACGCTTAGAAGCTGGTGATACAAAACCATGTGATTGCCCAGATTACAGTAGATGAATTACTTGTTTAACGCTTTAATGATGCAATGATCACATTAGACAATGATAAAATGGCAGTCATAATAACTTTGTAACTAATACAATTAACAGATCCCACAATAAAGAAACTTATGATAGACATAATCACTATGTGACTGAATATATACTGAGGAACAACACAGGATTATTGATGCACAAAAATTATTCAACCAAGATAGTATGATTAACGTAGTTTACGTAAAATAAATAAACTACTAGCACAGAATGAAGATGAAGATCACAAAGTTACCCAATTAGTTACTTACTTCTACAAATTATTTTTAAAAAGAACTAGCTCTGATGAGAAGATAGCTGCACAAGTTTAGGATATTTGCTCCCCAGATGTCCTGGTACAGTCAATGGTGGGGAGAGTCAGCTATCCCTCTCGAAACGCTCTCAAATGGCCACTCGTATACAGCCACTGCCAGGGGAGTCCTACTCATTGCATTCTCGCGGCAGAGATGTTTGTAGTGAAGGAGAACACAGGTGAGGACAACCGAATTATTTCTAGCATACCATTACATAGTAACTTGGTAAAATAGAAAAACCATACTATAACACTTAATTTGCAAAATGTTCAATAACTGTCTCGGACTTCATTGTTCTTGCATTTCCATACTAATTGCTTTCTATTCCTGTTCTTCCTTTCTTGATCTTCCTAATCTTCTGATGTCAGACATTACATTCCTGACTCGCGTTGTATACTACTTATGTCAATATAAGTAGCACGCACCACATTTTGTTTACGAAATTGAAAGGACGAAAAGCGAATGTCCGGTGCTTTAACCGGGTTGATGAATGCTAAGGATCCACCTACAGGAGTTAGAAAACTCTAGCCAATGGTGTATGAACCTTTGTTGGTCACCGGCTACCATGGAACTGCATCTCTTAACATTGCTCTATTCTCTCATGGATTAGATTTATAGGTCAGAGGATCGAGGGGGCGGCCCCCTTAGAAAACCACTTGTTTTGGTTTAGGCACCCGAACAGTCCCTACACACATTGAACGATAACTACTTTGTGTGACGCATATATATTTTGGTGTCCCTTTGTACCCGTGTCTATGTGTTTAGATAAATGAAATGAAATATCACTTTTCACTCAACTCTCTCAACAGCTTCATACAAAATTTAAAAAAGTAAAAATTTCATGGAAATCTTGTCACATCAAAAACTTACACTCAATATAACTTGGATGTCGTAGTAGAATACTCTTATAAATTTCTTCAGCTAAATCTGATCTACCTTGAGCTTCATGAAGTCTTGCTTGATTGTAACGAACTGTAATACTTAATCCATGATAGTAGTCATCGTTAGTTAATCCAGAACTATCTCCACCGCATTCATTCTCTTCATTTCTTTGCTCTTCAAGAATACGGTCATATGACCGTGTGAAAAATTCCTACATGAAAATGTAAAATTATGCATAATGATGCATGGGTCAGTCAAAGAATTAGTTAAAACAGTGTAAGAGTTAGTAAAAACATGCATAAGCTCGAATTTTCAGACGATATCACCAAAAGGAGAGATATAATCGACAACGTCCATAAGCAAAGAAATTGAATAAATGGCAGAGATTATGATGGTGAGAAAGACTTAAGCTGGAAAAAATGATTCGAAAAAAGGGATGGATTCATGGAAAAGATTAAAATAATATTACAACTCAATATCTAGGTGTAGGAAGGAGGGCGACCAGATAGTCGATCAGTCAGTCATCCACAATGTAAAACAAGGTACATATATGAATCATTTGAAGTTTTCACACCGTGTCAGCACAGAGATATGAAATTATCAAGACAAATCTCAGAGTAGTAGAACAGTTAGTAGAAAAAATAATATGATCTGAGAATGAATTCATGCAAGAAAAAAGATGTAAAATGATTTTAAAATTCAGGCTTTGAGAGGAGATAAATGCACTTGCACCTCTGTAAACGATTCTAAGCCATTTTACCAAAGTCGTTAACTATTGATTACGATAATCATACGGACCTCAACCTGGTAGTGTGAACCTACCTACATAGCTCAGTCCAACAGTCAATGACTTCATAAACTGATGTCATATCTCGATTTAAGAGCCTCTAGTTTGCTTCCAACCTACTCCTATATCAGCCAACGTCTTGAGCCGGGGGGAAAGGAATAATTCCATCTGCCCTATTGTTACTAATTCCAACGCATGAATATAACATGAAAATGCAAGAACCATGCTATATCAAACATGTGTATGAAAAGCATCTAAAAGATACCAAATGACCAATTTTAAACAAGAATAATTCCAAAGATATTAAGAGTTGTTTCAGCGTATAACGAACTACAATAAATAAAGTTGGAAATGGACGGCTCCATTACGACCGGATAGAAAACCAAAGGCGTCGTCTAACGTCCTCAACTCGGAGAGGCCAGGTTTCACAAGCATAGAGCAAAACTGCTCTCACCGACGCGTTGTAGATCCGATCTTTTACAGCCAGACCGACATCACGAAGGCGCCAAAGATGGCCCAGACTGGCATAAGCCGCTCTGGCTTTCACTGTACGTGCATTGATCTCATCACTCACGCCACCACCAGCACTTATGCAGCTACCTAGATACACGAAATGGTGAGATTGGGCAACCCTGCCTAACCCCACTACTCGAATGGAACAATAGAGAAAGGTGGCTGTATGCACTCACTCTGCCTGAGGTGTTTGTGTATAGGGCTTTTAGGATGTTAATAAACTTCTCAGACACACCCTTCTTCAATAGATAATCCCAGAGAACAGTCCTGTCCAACGAATCGAAGGCAGCCCTGATGTCAAGAAACACCACGATTGTTGGCCTTTGATAAGTGTGACGGTGTTCTAAGATTTGGCGGAGGGTGAAGATATGATCAATACATCCTCGACCGGAACGAAACACAGCCTGCTCCTCGCGAGTCAATCTTTCTCGAGTTTTCAACAACCCACGAAGTATGATGGAAGCCAATAACTTGGACGCAATCGGAAGTAGACTTATCCCTCGATATTTGTTACAGGAACGACGTGAACCCTTTTTAAAGATAGGGACAACTATCAACTCATTCCATGACGTTGGTACACTCTCTAGTTCCCAGACTTTTGTGAACAACACATTCAGTTCCTTAGTTAGAAAGTCACCGGAGGTGAGTCATCTTGACCCGGTAATTTGTAGCGCTTCAAGAGTTGGAGTTCCTTGCGGACTTCCACCTCATTTGGTGGATCAGTCGTCACTGGCCATGAAGGGCAGGACAGTCTGACCGATGTTGCCGGAGCAGCAGGCCAGTTAAACTGCCCTTCGAAGAGTTCTGCCCATCGTCCATGACGTCGATGGATGTTAGTGATTGGCATCCCATCATCCTCGCAGATTGTTTCGCTCACACCAAACTTCTTGCTGCCAGTGGCTCAGATGAATTGGAAGAGCTTCTGGTAGTTACCAGATACAGCTTCTGCTTCCAGCTCATTAGCACGCTCCGACCACCAGACTTCTCGGTCCTTAAGCAAGCTTTGCCCGATTTCATTACGTAACAGCCTTCATTTGTGGTCAAACTCACGGTCACCCAGAGTAGATCGACGGGCTTCAGTGAGTTGTAAGGAACCAGAAGAAACCCAGTGCTTATAAGCAGGACGTTTCGCGAAGCCGCAAGCGCCTTTACTTGCCATTTCCATGGCGTCATGAAGTTGCAACCAATGCTCATCTATACTTTTCGGTAAAAATGGTAGCTAGCCTAGAAGCTAGCTCGGTTCGATACTTACTAGCAACAGAAGTTGCAACCAGCTTGCTAATATCAATCCGTTGGTGATAGTCACTTCGTTGGCCACTGAAAAGTGAGGTAAGAATGGCGCAGAGCAGGGCATGGTCAGAGTCCAGATAGATACTCCAAAAGGAGTGGCAGTCTTGTACACAACCATGCCAGCGGTAGCTGATCGCGATGTGATCAATCTGAGTCCAGGCTTGAGATGCAGAGGGAGGGCTCCAGGTGGAACTTCGGCGACGACTGTGCCGAAAGTTAGTGCTAGTCAGAAACAGGTTGTGGTCTATGCACAGTTGCAGTAGACGGTCCCCGTCCCTGTTATCTGTCCTGCGACCAACAAGTCCCCATCGGTCACCTAAACGACTCTCTTCTGTACCTAGACGCCCGACCTGAGCATTCAAGTCTCCGGCTAGTACTACAATATCTGTCGAACGCATTTTCTAGAGCAGAACAGTTAACTGGTGGTAGAATTCATTCTTGATTACATCCGGACTGCCATCTGTTGGGGCATAGGTGGAGATGACGAAAAGACATCGTTTCTCACGCCGATTTCTCCTCACTTTGATGGAACCTTCTAATCTAACAGCACATAACCGACCGTTAATGGGGATCCAATCGATTAGTGCTGCCTCAGCTCTAGCGCTTAGTGAGACACCAACGCCAGCAAGACCATACGAAGATGCCACAGAATCCCCGGATAAGCGCACGTAAAACAAGCTTTTCAAAGCGACAGATGGAGAGCGAATTTATAGTACTTCACCAGAGTCTTGAATACGGGTCCAGGATAGACAATAAATGTCGATATTAAGACTTTCCAAAGACACAGCCAGCCCTATTCGTTGTCCGACCTGCATAAGTGTGCGAACGTTGAAGGCAGCCAGTTTGAATGGTGCACGTTGTTTCAGAAAAACTGCTTCAGTATCGCATTTTGTGGTAGCATACAGTTTTCAACCAGGCAGTGACTCGAGAACGTTTAGATAGAATCGAGTTTCAACCATAAGCGAGCTGTTGTATAAGTCGAAAAATAAGGATAGACAGAGTGGGAATAAAAGAGGGTGAATAAGTGACGTGGTAAATAATAATGTGAATTGTTTGACTGTTAATCGAAGCGTGAATAGAATTTTCAGTAAATATCGTCATTCTCATTTTATTTGTGAGTAACATTACCGATCCTCTGTAACAATTTGGATTACGATTATGGAGTATACTACAACCACGAATCTACACCATTTAACATGAATTAAAATAGCAGTCACTGACATTATGGGTTATTACAATGTTTTGACCTGCCCACTGCTCAAACTTTGGCTCAAAGTAAACCTGTGTTAGTTTCATGATCTGAGATTCAAATTCCAATTCTATATACACACACTAAACGCTTGGTTCAACTGTTATTCATGTAAAAATATTGGGAATAATTAGAAAGGCCAAGCTGAATGATTGATCTTCCCTGTCAAATAATTATCAACAATAACACACTAGTCCAAACATATTAATCATTCAACTCTTTCCGATGATCCACCACAAGGGGTAAATGTAAGCACGAGTTACTGCTGCTAATAATGTAAAACTACTTTATACTTTGATGGTACCGGGAGTGTGTTGTACTTCCTGGTCCTAATTAAGTGACTGGGTGACATGTATATCACCTTACAGTAAATGGTATAATATAAATAGCAAAATATTTAAATCTTTTTCTGTAACTTACCCACACTACTATACATCGCATCATTCGGAGCTGTTTGTAATATCCCGTAGATGGCGAAATTGAGAAGGAATGTTAAAATTAGGTAAGTTTGCTCAACTTTACTTCCTGGTTTAAGGAAGAATAGAGATGGGTGTGTTTAGATTCCCTTACTCTGTTTGGTGGTAGCTTTTGTGCAGTTTCCAAGATAGCAGTTTTACAGATAATAATAATAATGACAACAATCATTTTTAGAAAAATAATAGTAATACATACTTACAGAAGATTTATCATATTCTCCTTTTATAAAATGAAGTGCACCAATATTGTTTAAAATTTCTGGTGCAATTTCCAGCTGAATATTCTCTAAAATTGTTAATGCTTTAGAATAAGCATCTAAAGCTCCATTAATATCGTTATCTAATAACTGAGCATATTCAATCCATGCTTCGACATCTTCCGGTTGACTTTCAGTTACCTAAGTGTATAAACCAAAAAACTTTCATTGAAATCATGAACCAATCTAGGTTAGACCACCATTGAAAACCTGGAAGCACTGGATGACCGTTCCGACCTACTATGGGACTCCTCAGCAGTATACATCCACGATTCCACACACTGGAATCGAACCCAGGACCTTCGGTCACGGGCGCGAATGCTTAACATTTCAACCACTGAGCTGGCATCTAACGGAGTGAAGGGGAATACGATAACCTTATCATATGAACAATTATCAATAATTACGAAAGAAACTAGTCATAAATAGGACTTTTTCTTCCCTGAAATCGACAGAAAAGAACTAAAAACCAGTAGGTTTTTTCAAAGTAAATAGATTTCATATTGGATTGATTTTTTAAGCAAGAACTACGTACTTGCTAATTTAACTGTAACTGAATGATTCTTGAACAATTCAAAAGCGAATCAAATCTGTTTTTCAGCAACATATTTTTTTATAGAAAAATGAGAAAAGCAATAAACGCTTTCCCATCTTTGAATGTCCTTTTTATTTACATTAATTCCGTACACAAGTTTAAAGAAATACTAAATGAATGCAATTCACATTTCTTATTATGAAATAATTTCATTCTTGTCAAATTTTGTATACACTAATTACAGTGCAAACTAAAAAACAAATTATAAATGGATCTAACATTTTTGTCATATATATGACATCATGAGATAAAGTGAATTCTCTTATCAAAGACTTTTATATAGAGACTGATTCAACAACTATATCACTTGAGAAGTATTCTAGTCATAACTCAATGTTGAATTCATCAACCATTTCAATATAAATTCAGCATATATTTTAATCGAATAGCGATACCTACTATCACAATACTATGGAATCCATTTTTAAATCTGTATTTTATTATGATTATTTCAATTAGTCTATATAGGATCAGTTTTTCTATTGTTTTTAGTTTTATTTTTCTCTTTTTCTCTAGTTTTTTTTTCAGAATTGTATAGTTTTTGTAAATGAACTTGTTGTGTAGGATTCCTTTATTGAATCAATCATTTTATGATTGAATTGGTAATATTTAATTATTTTTATATAATTGTTCTATTATTCATTTTTAATAACATTTAATCTAATGTATCTTCTCTTTGTTTTAAATAACATAAATGAATTACATTAATTTTAATATTAATCATACAATGTGATTCATATGAGATTCAATATTTTGTTGAGATAGAATAATTGTTAATGCATAGTTTTAAAAGTGGAAAAGTAGGAAGAAGCGCTGGAAGTGGATAGGACACACATTGAGGAAAGCACCCAACTGCATCACAAGACAAGCCCTCACATAGAATCCTCAAGGCCAAAGGGAAAGAGGAAGACGAAAGAACACATTACGCCTGGGAAATGGAGATAGACATGAGGCAAACGAACAAGGATTGGATCGAATTAAAAGGAAGGCCCAGGACAGAGTGGGCTGGAGAATGCTGATCGGCGGCCTATGCTCCATTAGGAGTAACAGGCGTAAGTAAGTAATAGTTTTAAAGAATAACACAGTATATGATATAAAGTGTAAAGTCAATTATATATCGAGAGTAATTTTTAAAAAAAATGATCTATTAAAAATGATTACATAATTATTATAATAATAAACATGTACAGTGAAATAAGTTTACTGGATAAGACCAGGAAAAGAAAGTAAGATTAAACAATTTCATTATCAAATACAGTTGAAAACAAACAACTGTATTACGATAATCTTACTTGTTTAAATAATTGTTTTGACTGTGTACGTTTATCTGGCTTGTTAGATTGAGCATATAAACTACCCAGTATTTTTAAAGTTTCATAATTATTTGGATTATCTTTTAGTACACGTTCGAATGACATAGCAGCCTAATTGAGAAGTCAAAAAGAAATAATTACAGTATTCAATAGTGTATATACATGTAAATAGTACGATTGGAAATAATGAATATGAAAATTTAGTACAAATGAAGTTGATAACCAAAAATTATCAGTTATCATCAAAGTAAAACCTGTCAACGATTTGGGTTGGTTCAAGTTGCTAGAGCACATTAGCTCAATAAGATGAGATGCAAAAGAACGAAATAATGTTGCAGCAATTGATAATGAGAACAACTGAATACTAGTAATAGATTTTAAGCAAAGATGAGTGGTGGTTATCACTGGAATCCAAAACGCACGTTTTGTCTTATCTGGCACTTGTCAGCTGGATATACTTGCACCCGAGTGTTGATGTTCAAATCGAGACTTGAAACCAGTACTTTTTGCTTAAAATGCTCAACGGGTTATCCACTTAACTAATTAAACCTGATAATTAATGCCTTGTTCAACGGAGCGAACTTTAATTCACTTCTAAGGTTCGTTTTGTATTTTCTCATTGTGGATATTAAGGATTATAGCTGACCAGACTCTTTTGGCATATGTGAATCCTGTGAAAATGCCTCGATATTACCCCTAACACCAATAACAGAAACATTCACATAACTCCTGTGAATGAAAACGGAATACGATTCGAAAAGACAATAGAAAAGTATGATATGAAAAAATACTAGAATTCAAGATCGAGAAGACAAAAATGAAAAATTGATTAATTTGTGTCATGTGTCAAGTCACCAATCAGAATCCTGATTCTGATTAGATCTATTTCGCGTCTACTGTTTTCTGGACGGCCTAACATCCCTAAACTGACGAATTACACGTAACATCAACACCGCTGACCTGTGGCCGACGCAGCTAGGTGGTTCCTATCGAACAATTATTCCCATCCCTTTCTCTATCCCCTCTTGTTGGAGACCAGAAGTAGCAACCAGCCTCCGTTATACTTATAATTCAAACAGACCTGGTTTATAAACAGATATACCAAACCATAGAACATCTTAAAATGAATAATTGTTCACAAATTAGGAATTGTACTTAATTGTAATTGTACTTAATCCGTTAGCCGAAACTTACGATGGACGGAATACATAGAAATGGTAATCTAGTTACTTAATAGCTATACAACAAAATTATAACTAATTATAAGTCGTAAAACCAGTTTCAACTTCTACAATACTTTTTCGGTTATAACAGTGTTACCTATGTAAATAACTACCAGCATTTCCTGAGGTTTTTTTGGAATGTCATCAAAAATATGAGTTTGAGTTGTAGAGTACTTCTAGTAGTCAAACTATGTATTTAAAACAATGAGTTTAAATAGTTATCAGAAACGATAAGCAAATAAATTAATACTTACATGTTCTAAATCATTACGATGTAAATACATTTGACCAAGACCATAAAATGGTAAAATAAATGTTGAAGAAGCAAGTTGTGTGGCTAAATAATAATACTGAAATGCATTATCATAATTTTCTTGTATATGAAATGCTCTAGCCATTTGATAACAACTTTCAGCACGTATAGATTCCGTTTCAGTATTATAGAATGCATGTAAAGCTAATCGATGAACTTTAGCATATTCCTTTTTATAAAAAAAATGATCAGCTAGATGATTTAACACCATAGGATTAGTTGAGTCAAGATTATAAGCGCGTGATAATTTCTGAACTCCTTGTTTAATTGACTCCTGATATGAGAATAATAATAATTGCGAATAAATACACAAATTGTACATGCTTACTTATCGTTTCGACTTTTATGTAAAATATATTAATTGTTTAGAAAACCCCCATCATATTAAAACACTAGTATATGCATGAAGAATGTTTTCAATAGATCATCTTAGGGTTCTACGATTATATATCCAAATTAGTAATTTTAAAAAATTCACATGCTATAACTTTAAACGATATACTTTGCCTTAAACCTGATCACCTTTTTGGGTTATTAATTTAGATGCATTTAATTGTAGGACCTTAAGAGAATTTATTGAAAATAATATTTTTCGTTTATATATTCGTGTTTTAAAGATATTTATATTAACTCTGCTGATCCTCCTAATGCAGAGAGGTGAGATAAATTAAAATAATTCTGAAGGAAACATGATACTTTGATTCGAAAATATTTCACATTAAATAGTCTAAGTTGGTTTTCATTGGTTAAATTATACTCTATTTAGTAGAATAACAAGGTAACTGGTCTTGTAAACTGTACCTTATGTTACATTTCACTGTACTGTAACTTATAATCTACTAAATTCTACGCATATTTATTAGCAAATGAATCAAAATAAATCCAAAACATCCACAAGACGCGACCATAGTTACTTACTCAATTATTAATTAAAACTGAATGATTAACTCAGTTACATCGAAATATCACACGACCACAAAATAAAATTAATAATAATTGTAGTTATCTATGTTTCGATATTAACTTTAGTCATATAGGAAGTGAAATTTGATAAACAAAATTTCCCTACTTACTTATATGTTACGTAACACGTGGTTGAAATGAATGCTTTGATGAATATTTTCTCTTAATAGAAAATTTAATTTGAATTAAAATTAGTCGTTAAGATTAAACAAATAATAAAAAAGACTAACGTAGAACGCTTAGTAACGATGGGGTCATTGGTGGGAGATCTTTGTCGGTATTTTAATTAGAAACACTTTGATTATTTATATGTGCAGCCAATATGACGTAGCTCATGAGGCGTACATGAAGTTCTTTAATTTAAAAAACTTTACATGTCAGATCAACCCCCACAAGTCACGCATTAAACAATATCATGAGAACCATTGACGTTTTTAGTTATAACACACGAAGCCTTCATGTGTTCGGATCGTTATCCAATTAAATAGTGAGACAAGTCTTTATTTTACAGAGGGAGAGGAAGAGTCGAAACGAATTATCTCTCAGTCCATATCAATGAAGCGATGGCAATCGGAAGAGATGGAAACATTATTTGAAATAAAACTGAACACACACAACACCAATGTTGTCACAGGATGATTCCACAATATTTCGTGGGGACGGTAACACGATGCTCCAAAATTAGATCTAATAGACTGTCCTTAATCGCCTGAAGAATAATGAATGACCTAAAAGTTAATTCCCCCTAATCACTTATGACCATTTTATCATGTTCATCTTGTGTTCGTATTCTGCAAATAAGCATGTTATTTCATTCCATGAAAAAGTTCCTTTGACTAGTGGTCTTGTCTATGATTTCTAATCATTCGTCTGCTTAAGTCAAAAATATGATCTTGTGCCATTACTCACTCAAACCATATCACAGCGTTCAAATCTCGACTAACATTCTACTTCTCGGTCATAACAATCTAAATTTCGCCTCACGCGCAAAATGTACACCATAGATTCGTCTTCCTATGACTGCTTGCCTCAATTACTTGTAAAGCATTTTTAATACCTCACATCTCTCGAAGTGTGTGTCTAGAAAGAGAATGAAAGCTTCACACGATCATATCATCCCAGATGTAAGAACGCAATACCTTGAGAATTCCTACGACAACTGTATGAAGTACAAAAACTGTGCTTAAATATGGATTAATGGATAGATTTGACCGCTTATTAAACACTGTTGTGTGGCTCACAGAATTTGTTGTAAAACAAGTTTATTGTCTGTGTGGTATGTTAAAGTCACACAAAAAATCGATGATGTTGTCATTAGGAACTTTATAGTAGCAACATAAAAGCATTCAATTCTAATAATTTTTTATTAGTAATGACCAATAACAGTGCACTATAATTAAGACTATGAAAGTGTTTAATAAACCGAAGGTGGAGTCAAGTTCAAATCTGTGATTCAATGGTCAGAAGTTAAGATGTTTTAATCAAAAAACCATCAAGTAAATGATGGGACATACTTTATTAAAAGTTGTTCTAACTATTTATAATTCAACTACTCAGTAAAATGAGTATTATTTCAGTAAAATAAAAGTGAGTTTCTATCAGACAATAAACGTGGTAACCCGTACCTACATTTCATAACTACAATTTTCAGACTATAGAAAACTGCCTAATTGAAACTCTTTATAATGCGTAATGCATATACTCTTTCGGGAAGGAGGTTAAAACGAAGACAAGAACTTCACCATTTACTCTACCTATGGTCAAAACGTAAATGACTCACAAAAAACAGTCATTTTGATTTTACATAGTTCCACAAATTAAGAGTGAAATTATCTTCTACCTTACATAAAAGAGCACCGATGTGTTGTAAGCCCCAACTGGTCAAATAATTTACACAACAATATAAATGTGATAAAAAAAGAACTTTACTTGAGTCTTTTCATTAAGATCCAACACAGCCAATCCAACTAATGCACCAACACATTCTGGATCTAAATCCAAAGCTCGTTTAAACGCTAAACGGGCTTTTTCCATATTGCCCAATCGAAAAAAACAATGACCCATTCCAAGTCGAACAGTAGCTGGACAATTTGGCTGTAATCGTAATGCTTTACGATAAAATCCCAAAGCATTTCTATATTCTTTTTTATTAAATGCAATACATGCTTTGCCTAGATAAGCTGGTACACTCGGAGCACCTTGATTTAAAACAAAATTTAATTGACTATCAGCTTGACTCCAATTTTCACCTTCGTAGATAAAGAAGAACGCTCGGCCCAATAGATGCTTTTGATCGTACATATCAATTCGATCAGCTGACGTAAAAAGTCTAGTTGCTTGAGCAATTAATTGGTTCTTTTTATCCTTGCTTTTTTCTCTGTAAGTTATACAAAAATAAACACTTTAAATACTTGTTTTCATATATATCAATAGATAATTCCTTCATAAAATATGATTATTACGACAACTGAATAGGCTTGCTAAAATTATTGAAATGGATTAGATGTCTGATCTCTAGATCTTAGTCAAGTGTACGTCAAAAAATGAATTACTATCCTATTGGTTGAGTATATGAATTAAAGCTGTTATTAACATTTGAAAAAACTACTCAGTCAAGATAGTACAACTATGAATTATTTGTCTGTTAACAACGCAATAGATAATCCAAGACTGAAAATGAAAATTGTAGAATAATTAATTATTCAATTTAAGCAACAAGAAACATATGCCCTATATATCTCGCATTACGTGTATAAACAAATGCTCTGAAAATTAGTACCCCTAATCCATAACTTTGGAAGATTTTCTGATATTTTTTGGAAAATCATTTCCTTTCATTCAATACCATACAATGTACATTTCTGTTGATCTGGGTTTGTATTGTGATCAGAATTACAATATACAAAAGCAAATTAAATAATATAAGCTTGTGTCGATCAAAGTAATCCATGAGTAGTTGATGTGTGAAGACATATATATCCGGCTACACTGAATATAAGAGACTATCCTATATCTAAAACTGATTTAACTAATATTCCACTTTGACCATACTTGTTAACTTTTTTGTACTGTTTGATAATGTAATGTCGTTGTTGTCTATATATGGTTTCTGATAGTTGATGGGACTTGGAGTTCATATAATCAAGTATCGTGATTTATTGAATTTATTGATTTGGTCTTTAGTGAACGGTATTGATTCAATATCTAAAATGATAAGATAGTCATTCTAACACAAATCTGTACATTTGTCCGTTTTAACAGTGCTTATTTTGTTGCTCATAAAGTTTGATTGGCGATGACTTAAATACAAGTAGGAAAATAAAACTCCCCTAAAATCATAAACTTGAGCTACAAATCTTCTCCACCATTTCAAAATAAAACTTTGAGATTTGAACTAATTAAAAATTCATTAACCATGCTGTGAAACCCTAGTTAAACCATATTTTTTCGTTCAGGAATGTAACTAAATTTTTAAAAATGTAATAATACATAGATAAAAATAACCTGAAAATTAAATGTTAGAGAGAAAACAGTGTCAGAAGTGTTGAAAATGTTGCAGATTAACAAGCGTTTAGCGAATTCAATAAAAAAGAAGATAGTTTTTGCCAAGTAATTACTCGTACTTGTAAGCTTTACGACCATAATAATTAGCAAGCATATCTAGCAATCGAACCAAGTCGCTATCATGATATGGTTGAAGATCAGCTGCATTTAGATATGCTTCCTCAAGAACTTTTTCAAAATCATCGTATAATTTCTTTTTATAGTAAGCAATAGCAACAGTGATCCAAATTTGCAAGGGAGCTTTTTCTTGATTTAATATGTTGAGCACTTCTTCACCATCGGGCAACTGGTCTGTGTCAAGTTCAATTATTTCGTCACCTCCTCTTAATGGTATTTCAATGGTATTTTCAGTAGGCAATCCGCCATAATCAGAGTTAACAGAAATCTAAAATGAACAGCAATCATGAATGTTAATAACAGAATCACTAGTTCACAGTAAACCAGTGAAAAACTTCATGCTACAGTATAAACGTGCATAATAACGTGGACTGAAAAGAGATTGTCAGCATGATCCCCATGGGGAAATTCATTTAAACATGCACATTGTAATTAAAACTAAACCATACTATAGGAAATTGTGTATGGCCTCCATAAAGTAGCAGCTCATTGACTGAATTAAGATGGATTAACCCAGCAGATATGCAAAGGTGTAGTCCAGTTTTAGCATCTAAGTTTATCGTGATACTAGCAAGAGTTTGGGAAATGGAAGTAATCCCATCTGACTGATCTCAATCGCCGATCGTTCAGGTTCATAAGAAATGATGGATATGTCCTAGTGTTAAATACAAAAGAATCGATGTGACTAATATACTAGCCTTTATAATAATATGATGCCACTATCAGAGCTCATGAAGAGCGAACCCAGGAAAACCAGGCTGGGTGGTTTTAGACCTGGACGTGGATGTGTAAACCAAATATTCACCCTCTGTTAGTTCCTGGATTAGAGACATACCTAGTGACTCCCAACCTGTTTTATTTCTTGACCTCCGGGCGGTGTTCGGTTTTGTAAACTGACAGGTTTTATAGCAAAGCCTGCCATTGTAAAGGGTACTGAAGAAATACATTAGCCATATACGAGCTCTACTCAAATATTACCGGTCGGGTCACAGTTTATGGCAAACTACCATCAGAATCGATAACATTGGATGATGTTCGTCAGGTTTGTTGGCTTCCACAATTTTTTATTTGATTTCCTCATATTCATTCTTTTAGAGAGGATGCTGTCATTATTTGATTTTCAAGAATTGATCATTTACTGGGAGATTTATTTATTGACTTAGAATATGGATATGACAATCCTGCTTAGTGAGGATCGGAAAAATTCATTCCTCCGTTACTCTTGAGCAACAATGCTAGCATGCACGAGATGTATTCCTATCTCTTCAAATGTAAGATGTTGCTTTAGGACTATTCTGCATCAGTGCCTAAACCAATGACAGGGGGTGAAGTAGCTGAGAGCATCAACAAATACACTTAGCTTGGAAGTCTAATCACCCTTCATGGATTGATGTCTGATGAAATTTTGGCACGAATTCATGAAGCTCGCTTGCCTTTGCTAACTTGCACCACCTGTGGTGTAGGCGAGATGTATGTTTGCCAACCAAAGAACGAGTGAGCCACTCGGCAGTACGCTGTTTTACTGTGTAGTCGTGAAACCTTTTAAAAATAGAGGATATTCGTTGGTTAATAGTATTTAGTCACAGATGCCTTTAAAACATTACTCGAGTATGTTGAGACTACTAAATGACAAATGCTTATGTTAGACAAATGTGGAAAATTAGTTGATGATATAGCGAATTTCCAACAAATGGGACAGTTTGGACATTTATCGAGTTTATCCAGCCACCGCTTACCTAGATGGGGAATGATAGATGGTGTAGGAGGTTAGAACCAAGTCAAGTCCGACTGAACCAAAACGCAGCATCAGTCTGTGAAGTTAGTGGCTATCGAAATGAGCCATTTAGAAAAGTTCAGAATACCAGGTTGGAGTCTGTATGATTATCGTAAGCGATGGTTACAAGACACTGGATGAAATGGCTCACAATCATTCTCGATGGGCCAAGTGCATTCACTCTTTGTCTCCCCTTAGATCTTAAGTTTCTTAATTATTTTGAAGGTTTACCTATACGACTAATACGCATTTTCTTCTCGAATTATATTCTCTGAGTCTAATCTTCTTAGCTCCCACGAATACTAATACTCACCGCTACTCTACAATCTTGCTATGTTGATGTAGTGCGGCAACTTGTATTGATGCATATATATGCCAGGTTCTGCACTGAGTATGACGATGTTTTGCCTAAGAGGGCTAAAGAATACAACTACCAAGCTACATAAATGAAATGTATGGAGCAGGTTTTGAACCAGCGATTTAATGGTGGAAAACCCACTTGACCAATAGGAGTACAGTAAATATTCATACGTTTATAGTTTCGAGAATGTAATACCTACTTACTTTTAAGACGAACAAATGACGTAATGGAAATGAGTAAAAAATAATCCACCAATTTAAGGATAGTACATCCTGAATATTGTATGAAAGAAATTAACTAACAAAGTAATCGCATAGATGGATTAAAGTACATATTAGTGACACATGACGTGAAAGTTGAGTACTTAAATTATCAAGCTGATGGTTTATTAACACTTATTCTAACTACCCTTAAATCTTCAGTTTCAACGTTCCCTCACACATATATTCTATTTGATCCCAGTAAGCGAACTATATTATTAATTTGTGTGAACTTTCGTTCAGGCTTGAACGAATTGTTTCGAAATAAATGGACCCTGAATATATGGAAAATATTAAAAAGACATTATATTTGTAAAAAAAGTTATTTAGTTTAGTCCAATAACTTAAGTGTTTTTTTAAATATATTGATAGAGAAATTTTAGGTCATGAAAGTATGATTAAGTACCAGATGATATAACGATGGTTACATCTACTCTTCAATTAGCACTTATCATATATGTAAATGAGTTGCAACTTCGCCTGTAGGTTTTCTAGGGTTACTGCCGGTCCCAAGCCCGGGTGGAGGAGGAGGGCTTGGAATGGGGTCAGCAACCCCATCCCGTGAAAAACAACCTTGCTAAAAATACGCTAACCGGGATAAACAAATTAGACCAAGGAGGACTTATGACGCCTGATGATGAAAGCCGGGATGAACAACACCGCGTATGAAGATATAGGACGACATGGATTGACTGGAAGCAAGGGACGAGAATGGTGAGATATTTGCAAATTGATGTGCCTCCAACAAAACGATTATAGGTGCTAAGATGAAAATGAAGCTAAAGAAACATTGGACAGCTGGGGAAACAGTATTACGAAGGTTCAATACAGCCTTCCTACGAGATATCAACAAACTCAACCAATTCAAGATAACACTCAACAACAGGTCCCAAGCCTTACAGGATCTACTCAAACAAGAAACTATTATGGAGAACAAATGGAAAAGGATCAAAGAAGTATTAACTTCAACATGTGAGGAGGTTCTGGGTCGCAAGAGGTACCGTCACAAGGAATGGATCTCCGTCGAAACCCTGGACAAGATTCAAGGAAGGAGGGACAAGAAGACAGCAACTAACAACAGTCAAACGAGAACAGAGAAAGTCAAGGCACAAGCTGAATGCAGAGAAGCAAACGAGCAACAAGCCAGTGAGTAGGACTTCAATGCCAGGAGCTATAGTTCCGTGAGTATTCGAGAGGATTTTGAGGGAGTGGACTCTTCTCACTATTAGGAGTGCTAAGTTCCCAAATACGACATTTAGGAAGGAGACAATTTTAACACTCATATGTTGATTAAAAGTGAATTATGTTCATTAGCTTTCGATGCATTATCATTTATGTTGATTTATTTCGTATGAAGCTAGCTTATTGGGTTTCAAGGCCTTTCAGTGTACTAGTAAATTAATTGTTATTTCGCATTCAAATGACGGCCGCTCAGTTAATAGTCATTAAACTTGATCGATACATTATCTAATTTAAATGAATATAAATGCAATCTCCCCCGGTCTTTCCCGATAAACTTTTTTAAGAATTGTTTTTAGGAGTAACTAGAGCTAAAGGAGAATAGTGCTATTGCATGTTGTATCGAAGTTGTCGTTAGAGTTATAGCTGATATCCCACTAGGTAACACCCACCTATGGCTGCACCACAACATAGTGGAACTAAATATCTAAAAAAAACCATCCATCTAGAGGTATTTGCGTAAATCTGAGTCATTAATTTTTACGTTTTGGATGGGAGAAAAACTGCGGAAACCATCTTAATTGAAACCTGTAGTGTACAGTATTATTACACCAGAATTGGGAACTATTTATATAATTCTTTGAGCAATCACTAAATCTCCCATCACCAACCTTTGGTTTTACAATCTGACAAGATATGAGATGATGATTAGCTTGTACCACGTAATACTTTTTTGGACCAAAAATGGGAGGTTAAGACTTGTTATATCATAAACTAAACCATACTTTTATGATCAACGTTAAGAGATTTTTCAGACTGTTAACAGGTTAAAAAACTGAAGTCATTATGCTATGTATGACATAGATGGTCAATTCCATTTTTAAAAATGCCGTTTACTGTTCCAATTTAAAATTTCAGTTGCTTGGTAGTATTCTGACAGTTAGAATCAACTAAGTTTCTAGTAGTATCCGTGGTATTATTTCCAGCAGTATTGCTGTACTAAGCATTTAAGAGATGCTACGACAAACAATTGTATTTTTTCGTTTTAAAATTTTCTCTAGATAGGAGACGCATATGTAAATGATAGAAGCCGGGTAGCTTTGAATAAATCATTTGTATATTGTTTTCTTTATTTTAGTATAGACCAACTGTAAACATTGTTATTATATGACACAAACATCATGCATCACGTCTTTCACAAAGCGTATTGTAAAGGTAATGAGTTTGTAGAAAAATTATAATTAATGAAAAATAAGGTATAAATAACCGAACAGAAAGAAAATATAGCTTAACTTCCCCATTTCTCCTTTTTTCTTACACTGAAATTTACATCTTTTGTTAAACTGAGGAAGATATTGCGAGAAAATCACTGAAGTTATTTAGTCTGAATAGTTGAGGTCAGCAGAAAAACCATTTAAATGAGCAGTAGAAGTTGGTGTATTTCAGTAGTAGGTCAGTCAATCACAATCAACATAGAACCTGATTCACACAACAACACGAACGGAAATTGACGACAAGATTTTAGGATAGGTTTTCGATATCTCACTAGTCTTCACATTAAAAGAGAAGACAAAACTACGAAGGAAGACAAGAATATTTCAGTAGATAGTTCTTGCTGATCTAAATAAAACCGATAAAACTTCACCTAAGTCCTAAATTAAAACTGGTAAGCTTCAACATCAATCGTAGAGTGAGATATTGGATAAATGACTTGCTCAGAGAAAGAAGACAACGGGTGAGAGAAATAAATGCCTTATTATTGAGTTCTTCAAAGGAAAATCTGAGATCCTGTTCTTTTTCAATTTACATAGATGACTTATCCAGAGTTTCAAAACCGTCTAGTTTGTGGGTAACATTAAAGTCTGGAAACCGATAAAGTATAACTGATAAGACACGATCACGGGAAGATTTGAATACAATGAATGAGCACTGAAATAGGTGGTCCTTCACAATTGATTGATCACTGGGTGGTGATCAATGTCATGCTTGTCTAGTCCTTATTAGTGCAGATCGAATGCTATCGATCATGTTGCAATCCGCCAGGGAGCACCAGTTCCCTCAAGATTACAGGTACACCTTGCTGATGAGTGCCAAGCAGCACGAAACCCGGGTCCAGGGTTTCCTGTTGACTACCTCCAACCACCATCTAAATAGGTGGTCCTTAGAAGTGAATTCTAGCAAGAGTATGGTAATGCGAACCGATCACTGGGATGATTTGCATAAATAAACGACAAACGGGATGCCATTCCGTGAATTCTGGATTGTGAAAATCGGGAAATCATAAGTAGACATGACTTTAAAACTACGAGTAACTATACTACAGTCAGTTTTAGAAACTTTCGGATCATACGGAGTATTTGCAAGTCAGTTCGTACTTTATTTGAAAAAATATTTACGTTATTACACTCAATGTATGTGGAGCCTCACTCAGAATAAGACAATTACACAGTCCTTGTTTTAAATATGAAGCAGATATAATTGAAGTGGTCCAACAGTCAGGAGTAAAAATAGTGAAAGATCTTTCTGACCTAACTTATGAAGACAGATTGATACACCCCAATTTAGTTGCGCCATCTTACCGCATGTTGAGAGGTGAACTAATACTGGTGTAACGCACAATGAGTAAGCGCTTGCATTAATATTGTCTTATTTGTTTCTTCCACCTAGGACTGATCATTTGAAAGGGTATCCTAAGAAAGTTCTAAAACCGAGATCAAATCGTCTACGTTTAGAGTTTTATGTCATGCACTGAGTCGTCAATTGTTGGAATTCTTTACCAGAACTCTATCAAAAACTGTTTTGAAGGATGGATTTTCTCAGAACCGGAAAATCACGAGAATTAATAAGGGCCCATAGCTCGCCTCTACCTTTGAAGACTGAGAAAAACAGAGATAGAAGTAATACAACCGGTAGTAAGAACGACTAAATATCCAGGATATGACATTATAAAGCTACATTTGCAAAACTCTGTGCGACTGAAACCAAATACCTTTTACAAATATAAGCTCCGTAATCCTACCCTATTCCGAGAGCCTTGAGCGACAAATAAACAGTAAGAAAGTCTTCATTGAATATTAGTAAAATTTTAAAATTTTGCTTTTAAAAGTCCTTTGCTTGGCATCATATTTTGAATATATTTTGTATTTTAGAAAGAATGCATGATGATTTTCTCGACGAATAAACTATAACGATTATAACGTTCAAGTCAAAAGTATTAGAGTTGAAAGCTAGGGTTTATAGGTTTCGAGGTGAAAAATATCACAGCTATGTCTCAGAGTTTAGGGGCATCTAGGTAAAGCCTTATGAATCGTGGGGTTAGGAGTTGGGATTATGTGTGTTACGAGGTCGTAGTTCCCAGACTAACTTGTGCACAGTTAAACCTAATACGTTTGTTGACCATATGAAAACCCTCAATTCCCTGTGATTTTACCATTGTCTTACATTTTACAAATTTCACAAAAGCTGAATGATAGTTGAAATTTGTGAGTGATTATTCTTAATGTTACCCTAAGAATCGCTTACGACAATCGATATGGAATGCTTATGGCGAAATTTTCTGAGAATATTGAATGGGATCCAAACTATGAAATATAAGGTGTGGGTGAAGGAACATTTATACTGAAGATATAGTGGAAAGTAGAGTAAGTGTTAATAAGCCATCAACTAGATAAGTTAAGTGCTCAATTTTTACCCATTTCAGTCTTCAGTCTTCAGTAATAAGGATAGTAGGTTGGTGAACCTGTATTAATCCTGACACATTGCTTTCCAGTGAAGGTCCAGCTCCTCATCATAAAAGCATGAATAACTACATCCATGCAGACACAATATGATAAAAGCATAATGAAGTGCATCTTAGAAGTTAAATGAAATAAAGCATACATCCATCCTATAAGACTTCAGCGACCCGGGTAACTTCAAGGTAACTTCAAGGACTGCTATTGAAGTTAGAAAATCTTGGTATTGCCGGATGGTTTTCAAAATGGCTTAAGGATTTCCCAGTAGATCGTAAACAGAGAGTAAGAACAAATTCTAAGTGCTCCATATGGAGACCAGTACTTAGTGGAGTACCTCAAGGTTCCGTCACAGGCCCTCTACCTTTTATACTGTATGTAAATGATCTTCCAAGTATGATACAGTCCCCGATATTATTATACGCTGACAATGTAAAAGTCTGGCGATTAATAGCTGGATACACAGTGCATGCGCCCGTCAGGCAAACTTAAATAATATGATTAACTGGTCTAAAGAGTGGCTGATGCCTATCAATGCGGCAAAGTGTATCTATGTGCCTTTTACCGGATTCAAAGGTTAATAGGTACAGCATAGGGAAAGTGTTAGTACCCGTGTTCCAGTTTCATAAGGATCTAGGGGCGACAGTGAGTCATGATCATAAGACGACGGCCCATTGTCGGGAGGTCGAAGCTAAGGAGTTTAAATCTCTATGGGCTTTAAAACGGACATTCACCAAGTTATATACTAACATTTTCACCACAGTATACACAACCTTAATGAGAGATAAGCTTGGAAACTGTGTTCAGGCTGCAAACCCCTGTTTAAAAGGTAACTCGGATATCCTAGGAAAAGTACAGAGGGTAGCTACCTGTGCAATTCTAGAACTCTGAGGTTTACCAAAAAAAAGAGCGCCTTGAAAAGCTAGACCTATCGCAGACTAAGGGGAGATCCAATTTTGATGTACAAAATATTAAGAAATGATTTTAGACCTAACATGTTATCTCTTTTACTCCTCACTAGATCGGGACATCTCGGAGGATATAGCAGACGAGTAGAAAAGCCAAGAAGGTTTTCACATCGAATCATCAATTCTTGGAACCTGTTACCCGAAGCGATGGTGTCCGCAACTTCAATTGACTCAAATGAGAGAAAACTATACACTTATATTGGCATTGGACCATGATCACACAATCCTGAAACTGAACACGAGACTACTGGGAAAATAGATATTCAATATTTAACGCTCAGAAATACCTAACGATGGAGAAGGCGGGAACGAGGAATTGAACCTATTCGAGTTGGTCGGATGGCATGGTTCGGCCTTGCAGGCGTGGTCCCTGCTGAATGTTACTTTATATCTTTTACTCATATTGAATAAATTGTTCCATCTCCAGCCAGAATGTGTCCTCCATCATATATATTGGCAATTGTTACGATGCCATGAGTCAGTGTAGACAACCATGTGGCTTCCACGCAAGATCTCATAGACTAGGCAGTTACATTATAAAAAATCCGCAGTTTTAGGATCAAGTCTATTATTAGAACAGTTCTAATATCATAGAAGACCATAATTCTACACACCCACAGAAGTATATTAGAAGTGGAATAACACAGGCTGTAGGCCTCCTGCACTTACTACACAAATCCTTAAGCCATTTTGAAAACCATCCGGCAATACCAAGATTTTCTAACTTCAATAGCAGTCCTTGAAGTTACCTTGAAGTTACCCGGGTCGCTGAAGTCTTATAGGATGGATGTATGCTTTATTTCATTTAACTTCTAAGATGCACTTCATTATGCTTTTATCATATTGTGTCTGCATGGATGTAGTTATTCATGCTTTTATGATGAGGAGCTGGACCTTCACTGGAAAGCAATGTGTCAGGATTAATACAGGTTCACCAACCTACTATCCTTATTACTGAAGACTGAAGACTGAAATGGGTAAAAATTGAGCACTTAACTTATCTAGTTGATGGCTTATTAACACTTACTCTACTTTCCACTATATCTTCAGTATAAATGTTCCTTCACCCACACCTTATATTTCATAGTTTGGATTCCATTCAATATTCTCAGAAAATTTCGCCATAAGCATTCCATATCGATTGTCGTAAGCGATTCTTAGGGTAACATTAAGAATAATCACTCACAAATTTCAACTATCATTCAGCTTTTGTGAAATTTGTAAAATGTAAGACAATGGTAAAATCACAGGGAATTGAGGGTTTTCATATGGTCAACAAACGTATTAGGTTTAACTGTGCACAAGTTAGTCTGGGAACTACGACCTCGTAACACACATAATCCCAACTCCTAACCCCACGATTCATAAGGCTTTACCTAGATGCCCCTAAACTCTGAGACATAGCTGTGATATTTTTCACCTCGAAACCTATAAACCCTAGCTTTCAACTCTAATACTTTTGACTTGAACGTTATAATCGTAACATTTTATGCTATTCGTTAAATTGTATCCGAATATATGAATTTTAATGGGTCATGGTACCTTTACTCTTCCTTCAAAATTTCTCCATTTCAAAATACATGAAGATTTTGTGCTCTGCTCCTGTTAGCTTCCTTTCTTTTTTCTTGCCTTCCTATTCAGCCCCCTTGAGAATGGCTACCGAAAACACATATGGAACTGGAGAATACTTCCTGCGCCATCAATGATGTTATAGCTGTTCCACAAAAACATGAGGTATGATTTCTAGAAGCTTTCAACTCTACGTGGATTTATTCTCGACCATCAGTGGCACGTCGAACTGCGACCTCCATAAAACGCGCCAACTGTCATATACGGGTCTTACTGGTGTTGTATACATTCAGATGTGAGAAGTGTTATCTACCATAATTCTGTAATCAGTGTACCTTATGACATATCATTCTAACTGAGCAACACACAACAGTGAAGACTGTATCTTCTGTAACTATTCGATCCTGCCTGTAAAGTGGCATGCTTCGTGTAACAGACTTATTCGAGAATAAATTATTGTTATTATTATCAAACAAAACTGACATTTGTATATATGATAGATCAATCAAACCGACATTTCCATCGGAGTGGAGCAGAGGAAAAGTAGGCGGAACAACATTATAGATCAAGAATTTATTGACCTCCTTATTTTGCTTGGGTATTATAGTACTTGTCATTCTATAATGAATGCTGTAGGTCCGTGTGTTTAAAGTGGAACTTGACGCCCAAATTGCCTGGCCCTACGATCTCAGTAGAAACTTACTATAACAATTTTTCCAGCTCCTTACAAGTATAAAACGCTGGATAAATGGTAGCAGTAAAAGTCTCACTATTTAGGAATTGCAAAATTCTCTTATTGTAACCCTGTGTAGTCATTCCCATGAAATGTTTTTATTAGAAACCAAGTCAAAGGGAAGAGATAAAAACTATGTGAGTTAGGAATAAATCTGGAGTAAAATTAAAATACACCCACCCACGACCTGGGTGCTGATATATTCATAAGCAACTGTACTTGAGTCGGTTGAGTTACTTGACTCAGATCAGGTTTAAGACCCACAGTGATACAGTAAAGCATAGGCAGTTGATAGAATTAAATTCAAGCTGACAATCTAATGGGTTGACGGCCTCGTTTGTGCCATGAATGCGTTCGAATAACCTTAGACGATGTTTTCATGCACCTTAATATTTTCATCATGAACCACGATATCATCCCGATACGATTCAACACCACCACGTCCGATGATAATTTGGTCTATAACCTACTGCAATATGGCCGATGAACGGTTTACTCAAAACGGAAGCAGTTTGCTTTTGGACAGTTCGAATGGTGTATTATTAGTAGTTGGTTCACTAGAGATATCATCCAATGGAATTTGCAATAATGCATCTCTATTTTGAAAAACACCTCGACCGACGTAATTTATGTAGAATATCTTCATTTTCGACAGTGGTACAACTCTGTTGCAACAGCCGAGTATTTAGTGTCATGCGGTAACCACAGCTAATTCTTGATGTTTTTCATCCACCTTTATTGCAGTCACAATAGGAGTAGTCCAAATGAACAACTCAACAAGTTCACACAGCTTATTCCTTACAGCCTTCCTTAAACCGTGTGAAATTAATGTAGGTTTCGAGAGGATGGGCTCCCCCATTTTAGTTTAAGTATACTGGGTTAATTTTCATATCTCTCACGGCTTTCGAGTCTTGTAAAATCAGACATTTGAACGGAGTGCTTTCAGAAGAATGGGTGCTTAAAAAACTGCTAGCACCGAAATTTGTCTAGCCCTTAACCTAAGCACGGCTGGATAGTGCTCACTATACTGTTTGGTAACAGCGTCACGAAGATCATTATTAAACAATTTATAAGTAAAGCAAAAGTCCTGAGTCATTTGAAAGCCCAAAAAATATTCTCGCCAGAAGCTCTCATAGTTTAAGGTCATTTATACCAATGATCAAATGATCAAGGGGGTGGATGTGATACTAATTATTGGAGGTGCACTTGGAAGATTGTGTCTGGAGCTGTGCCATGTAATCTTTGTTAGCTAGATTCAGAGCACAAACTATTTTGTTGACCTATGATCTTACACGTGTTTACAATAATGTCACTTGAAAATGATCGTTCACAAATCTATTTAGTTTGATGAACAGAAATAGAATAGGTTTTTCAGAATATACAGGGTTCTAAAACAAACTATAGGCATTTCTACCAAAAATTGTACTAAAATGAGCTGAAATCTTATCTTCCTCAAGGTTATGTGACATAAATTAAACGTCAAAACAATCTAAATGATCTTCCATCTCCCTCAGTGATGCGTTGATGGTTAATTTCCCCAAGCTTTTGGGATTCGTGTGTATGAGTGGAACCCTGACAAAACAAAAACAAGAATTCGAATTTTTAGTGCCCTAAATCAATATCTATTGTTGTATTTGTGATAGATTTAACACTATATAAAATATATTTAAGTGGACGGTAAACGTATTGGTCATTCACTATAGAAACTTAACAAGAATAATGTCTCTTCGTAATCAAGAAGTTCATCCTAAAAATGAGACACACCATATAGGACGCCTAGCTACTTCTGTATAAAACGACCAGTAAAAGACTGTTGATACTACCGTAGTAATATTTTGGCACCATTATGTTCTATCCGTTTCTTACATTTAGGAATGATATTCTGAGATGAAACTTCAAGACATCGTTCAAGAAAATAAATACTAT